AAGGGACAACAATTTCCAAGACAACCCCCCCCCCCTTTACACATTGGTGTACCACTGTAATGGTATTATATAGATTGTTAATCTCACACACTCTTATGGAAGGGTTGGGTACAAACTGAATTGTTTTTACAAGGAGGTAGAATTTGCCTTGGAATGGAATTTCATCCAGAATCTAAACTTTTTAAAATGATACAATATATTTATAAACGTAGACATTTCCTGTGTCCCTTAAAGGAACTTGGGCATATAATGCTATCTTTGAGGGATGAGAGCATGGTTCATTGAATTGTTGAGGATCACTGATTTGTTGGCTTTGTCTCCCGTCCAATTTGCTACTGTTATACTCCCTTGCTTTTTCGATTTTCCAGTGGTGCTGATCTCATTTCTTCCCTGCCTACTTTTCATAGTCCCTTCAGTATTCCACCAATTCATTCCTTTTGTCTTTTATATCACCCAATTGATTTTGACGGTATTTTCACTGTAATCGAAATGTGGGCAAAGGGCAGGCTGCGTATGGCCCCAAAGTGTGGTCCTTGAAGTTCTCAGTGCTCTTGAAAATTAGAATGATTTTTTTTCTTCTGAATTCCTCAAAGTGGTGCAAAACACAATAGAAAGGGTCTTAACCCTTTCCCTACTTGCTAATTTCCATCTTTAAACAGAAGTTGCATAGTTTGACTAGAGCTGTATTTGAAAGGACAATTACCCATCTTGAATTCCTCATTCAGGGATGGGTAAAGAGGAAAATGATAGGGAAGAGGCATACCTTATCCCTTTCTCCATTTCTTGTATGTTCAGAATGATTTGTCTTTCATTTGTTAAAAAAAGAGCTTTCCCTCTTCTGCTCATACACGTATTCCATTTGTAATCGATGGTTTGTTGTCAAAAGCTTTCATGACTGGAATCACTGGGTTGCTGTAAGTTTTTCAGGCTGTATGGCCATATTCCAGAAGCTTTCTCCTGGTGTTTCTCCTGCATCTATGGCAGGCAACTTCTGAGGTTGCCTGCCATAGATTCAGGCAAAATGTCAGGATATAATGCTTCTGGAACATGGCCATACAGCCTGAAAAACTTACAGCAACCCAATCAATGGTTTGCTGTCCCTTGAATTCAAACCAACTATTTTAACTTTGTCTGCAGATGAAGACCTGTCAACAAATCTACCTATTGGCTGTTCCAAGCATAATACCTACCTCTTTCATAATGGAACCTAGAGATCAATGTGGTACTAGGTTCAGTCCAATACTTTTTCAGATTGGAACATTCTTGGTGAAACATTTCAGTCTCCTGGTTTATTTTTCTAAAGTGGAATTTCGGTTTGCATTTGAAACAGTTGGTTGTGCAATATCCTCTTTCGCAGTCAGAAAAGCTCTGTTGAGAGCTATGATGAGCTGAGGGCCTGAATCATTTGTTTTCCTCTGGGTGAAGGCATTCCCATGTCTCTTAGCAGAGAGGGAGGGGGATGCCCACTTCTGTTTCTAGGCACACATTTGGCAGCTATTATGCTGAGTGAACATTAAACAGAAGTTATTTGAGATGTTCCTTTTTCCTTTGACTTCCTTTGCTCTTTGCAGTTAGTTACTTTGTCTCATGTATTTTCTGATGTGTGGCTGTGGTACAGAATCCATAGCCACTTAGGTAAGCCTGAAAAAAGCTGATGTGAGGTGACTTAAGGCTGAAAAAGAAGGGTGTATTCTGCTTTCTGGGCGATAAGAGTAAAAAGAATGGGTTTTTCAGATAGTGTTCAACAGCAGAGCTCTGTAAGGAGGAAGGGACAAGAAAATGAATCACCAAAATGTGAAGAAACGGGATGAGAGGGGGAGAGAAATTCCTCTCATACTTTTTGGCGAAGGTAGCTTGCTCTGTGACCACCATCTGGTTTTTGTTCAGGGCACATCTCTGGCAGTTCAGGGTCCCCCAGTTGCTGTGAGGGAGACTTAAGCAGCCTTTTTTACAGATCTCGCCAGGATCACTCAATCTGAGGGTGCTGACAGTGCATAGAATTTATCCAGTGGTTGCTGGCATATCTTAAGGAGGATCATCAACAGACGTGGGAACAGCCAATGGACTTTTCAAGACCAAAACAAGACATTAAAATAGAGCATTGCTCTATATTATGAAATTAATGACTATGGTAGATTTTCTTCATCTATCCCACTTTGATTTTGTGGTTGAACAGTCACCAAACCATCATCTTTCCTGTTCTCCACCATCCTTTGTTCTTTCTCAGTGGGCCTTATCACACTAGAGAAAAAATCCACTTAAAATCCAGTTTCTGCCTCCTGCAGAATTCTGGGGTTTGTAGTTTAGGAAGGAACCTTTAACAGCTCCACTAAAGTACAAACCCCAGACTTCTGCAGGAGGTCTAGTGTCATGGAGTGAATTATCATGTCAAACCAGTCTGAAAAAGAATTTGCTTCATAGAATCATAGAGTTGGAAGACACCTTGTGGGCCACCCAGTCTCTGTTTAAAAGCCTCCAAAGAAGAAAACTCCACCACACTCTGGGGCAGAGAGTTCCACTGCTGAACAGCTATCACAATTTGAAGTTCTCCCAAATGTGAAGGATGGCAGTATAATATGCTGTTGAGAAATATACTATATATCAAAGTTCTAATCTGAAACCAAAATGTTATGCTTGAGCCCTGGTTGTAGCCATGGGATGAATTAAAAAGCCTCCAAAGAAGGAGCCTTGGCCATTAAAGATGTAGTGTGTGCTGGTATCTTTAATGGCGAAGGCTTTAAGAAAATATAAAGGAAAGGAGATTCCACCTGAACACGAAGAACTTCCTAACTGTGAGAGTTGTTCATCAGTGGAACTCTCTGCCCTGGAGTGTGGTGGAGGCTCCTTCTTTGGAGCACACATACCAGCACACACTACATTTCTGAATACCTAATTTTAAAGTGAAGATACAACAGAACCATCAAAACCCATTGCAAGAAAAGGCGTAGTGGACTGCAAAACATTAGTGGCAGTCACAAACATGAGTTATAGGTCGTTGAAAGCTTTTTATATTTGCCTATATTAAGAAGTGACCCAGGATGGAAGCAATCAACTTGCAAATTTGAAAAAAGAACGAAGTCTGCTGAAATGTAGATTTCATAAACAGATATGCAAGATATAATTCTACCAGCACCATGGGATTTGTCAGTATTTAACTTAGTTTTTACAACATTATTTTACTTGAACTATAGCTCTTTGGGTTGCTGTTTCTATGTGCGTGTCAGTCCGTGAGGCAATCTCTTTCAGAGAGACCTTCCCCACCTCGCAGTCCAGGCATCTCAGGAGCCAAGAGTTGGGGAAGGGGGAGAAACATTAGGGAAAGCCACATATTTCCATTGTTTCCATGACAACTAGTCCATTAAGGAGACAGAGATTAAACCTCCCCAGCTGCTACATAGGTCCCCCACCATTCTGAGCTGCAGCGGCTGCTTTGTATCCTGAGTACATAGACTTTGGATGTGCTAGTATCAGGAAAGTGATGAGGGAGAATTGGTTGTAAATTGTAAGAAGTGAATCTGCTCTCGAAACAAAATTATGGCAGTCGTGTGAATGTAGCTTCATATGTGTGTCTGCAACAGTCCCGGATTTCATATGGAAATGGCTTATGTGATTAATTCCCTCCACCCACCCACCCTCCCCAATGTCCATCTGAAGTGAGAGGCTGTGCAGTCCCAGGACTTACCAGAAGATAAACCTGATCACTTAATTGAATGGATGCCCTGTGTCAGTGCAATTAGTGGACAGCATACTAGGAAAACAACCCCAAATATTTCAAAATATTGTGGATGGTTTCACATCACGTCTGATTGTATGTTTGTTTTTGGTACTATCACTAAATGATAAATAGCTAATCTGTCACGGTTCTCATCTCACTTCATTCTCCACCATCTTTCCTTAATCCCAGGGTTGCCAGGTGAGTCGCCTTGAAGCTATAGGATCCTGTACCTTTAATGGTTGTGCAAAAGAGGGAATTTCAGCAGATAGAACTTTTCTGACAAGTGCTAACCGCAGAAATTCAATTTTGTACAGTTACAGAAGTTACAGGAGCCCTGTCCTGTTATCACTTGTCAATCCTACATCAATCCCAGGTGTAAAGTCTGAAATCCCCCTTTCCTATCACATCTATGCTAGTGGGGTGGACAGAGTATAGGGTGGGCCATGAAGATCCATATTTGCATCCTCATTCAGTCATGCAAGTCACTGGTTGCTTTTGGCTACATGGAGATAAATCAGCACCAAAGGTACTGAGATATGGATGAGGTTGATGGATCTGGACATAGCTGCAAGTGGGAAGACAAGTGGAAATCTTCATTTAACTCTAGGTTCCATTATAACCAAACCAGGAAACACTGGCTCTCAATCAAGTCAAAGATATAGAGGCAGTTAAATTCTATACGGCATGAATAGTGACTTCCCTGGATTGTTTCCCCATGCACATGGAAAGAGAAGTTTGTTCACAACTTGGCTTATAGATTGGATCATCTAAATACAAGCCTTTTTTTGAAAACTATTCTTACCAAACTTGATTATTGTAAGGATAACTTTAGAGGGCATCACAATCCTCTGGGCTTTTTGAAAAATGTCAAAACACAAACAAATTTACAATATATTCAAAAAATTACATGATTGCTCCCTGCATTTATGCAGGTGATTCCTTTTCCTTATTCCCTCTCTCTCTCTCTCTCTTTGCACTGGTGCTTGTCTTATCTCAGAAGAGGACAGCTTGGGATGGTGTTTACTTCCCAGAGTGATCACCAGTGATGCCTTATGTCCAGCTGATGAATTGTGTAAAACGAAATCAATTGTTAGCCTTCTAATGCAGTTTCCAAAAGAATGTTGAAGGCAGAAGTAGCTTGTGCAATTTGTGATTATGGGTGCAAGCATTCATATGTAAATGACATTGTTGACACATCCTGTACACATTTTCATGTGCTCCCAGTGTCCCTATTTGTCCTTTTGCCCAGTGAATGTTGTCTTGTCTTGTTTTCCTTTGGTGATAGACCAATGCCCACATACCGGGTAGATGCAGATAAAGGCTTCAACTTCTCTGTGGGTGATGATGCTTTTGTGTGCCAAAAGAAGAATCATTTCCAGGTCACTGTCTACATTGGCATGATTGGAGACCCTAAGTATGTCAAGACTCCCGAAGGCCTGAAGCCATTAGAATGCTTCTACCTGAAACTTCATGGCGTGAAGGCAAGTTTGAATATTGGGAAATTTCAATAGTTAAAGAGAAAGAGGAGCACAATCTGCTGGGAAATGATATAAATACTGGTAATAGTGTCTGGCATAACTGTGAATATCTTGGTTAGGAACCATGTATGTAATTATATTGATTGTCTATAAAATGTATGCTTTTATGAACATCAGTGTGTCTGTAGTCCATTAGTCCACTTCTTTCTACTACATTAGCTATGGGTTAAACCTGGCAGTTCAGTGACATCAATATTTAGAAATTTCCCCTCATTTTTAAATGAAACAGCACCAAATGCCACCAGCAATTTTGAGACACACACCGTTTTTCTGCCAGTTGTTTGCCAGCCGTCACAATATCTAATTCAGGGAAGTTTACAATCAAGTCCTTAACAATAAAACACACAATAGCAAAGTTAAAATAAATAAACAAGTAGCAAAGTGAAATATTAATAACTAACTTCATATTCAGCAACTGTCCAATGGGCACAGCTGTGTCTGAATTTCAGCAAAGGGTTTCTTTCTTTCTGAAAAAGAATAGTGTTGATTGTGTGGTTATTTTCTCATCTCTGTGTTTACTCACAATTATGAACATCATATAAGAAGAGCCATCTGGATCAAACTGGAGGGCTTATCTAAACTATGATGATGAAACTGATGCTGCATCTGAAATGATGGTCCTCATTTTTTCATTTTTGAAATTTTGGAGGACCATCATCCTCGGACTATGAGGGATTGCCTAAGTAAAGTAAGTAACCATCCGAAATCCACAAGGAGGACATGAATCCAATACCATCCTCCCACATTCATATTCCTTAGCAACTGCTATTGAACGTGTACTTTTTCTGATATGGAGGAACTACATAGCCATAATAATCAGTACTATTTATAGCCTGATCAGGCTTGAATGTGTGTAAGCCACCTTCAGACTAGGAGCCCCCACTGGTGCAATGGGTTGGTTAAACCCTTGTGCCAGCAGGATTGATGACCGGCAGATCAGCAGTTTGAATCCGGGGAGAGCGGGTTGAGCTCCCTCTGTCAGATCCAGCTCCCCATGCGGGGACATGAGAGAAGCTTCTCACAAGGATGGTAAACATCAAAACATCCAAGTGTCCCCTGGGCACCATCCTTGCAGACAGCCAATTCTCCCACATCAGAAGCAACTTACAGTTTCTCAAGTCGCTCCTGACACACACACACACACTTAAAACCCTTGAAACTCATCTACATTTGCTACATCTTCTTGCAGTTTAATTATGTATTCTGTGACATTTATCTGTGAATCTAATCTAAATCTTCTACCATTTAATGTCACTGCATGATCCCCAGAAAAAGTCTCTCCTTCCAAAAATATTGTAACCCTTTTTCATGAAGTTTCCTGCAACTCTTTAATAATTTTGGCAGCCCTTTTCTGTACTGTTTCCAAACCTACAGTATTTCTTTGTTGAAATGCTATGACCACAGTTGTACATGATAGTAAAATAAAATTCTGATCATGGTCTTTAAAGTAAATTTGTGGATGTTTTTTTTTCCAGCTGGAGGCCTTGAATCAGTCTATCAACATAGAACAGTCACAGTCTGATCGCAGCAAACGGCCCTTTAATCCTGTCATGTAAGTACTGTGCAGGCATCAGGGAGAAGCAGGATTGTTCAGGCCATTGGGGTTAGAACAAAAGTCATCATATTATTAATGCTTCCCCCATTCTGCTTCATCTTCATAACTTGTCTTATGACAACCGCCTCCGGGCTGAGAAGGGCAGTATACAAATATGGTTAATTAATTAATTAATTAATTGATTAATAACGAACCTTTTAGTGTAACTCTTCTTACCTAACTTGGTTCTGTTTCCTTTTCCTTCTCATAAGTCAGAGCTTCATCTTGGGAGGTGCAGATGCACACTTAATTTTCCCTTTTTCCCTTTTCAGGGTCAATTTACCTTCAGAGCAGGTTACAAAGGTCACTGTGGGGCGACTTCACTTCAGTGAGACCACAGCAAACAACATGAGGAAGAAAGGCAAGCCGAATCCTGATCAGAGGTGAGCACTCACAGACGCTGCTCTTTCCCTCTCTTTTGTGACTCAGGTTGGCATGTGATGATTTGTGTTCTCATTCAGTGGGGATAATACTTGTTGATGTGTGCCTTCAAGTCGTTTTTGACTTATGGCAATGCTAAGGCAAACCTGTTATGGGGTTTCCTTGGCATGATTTATTCAGAGGGTTTACCTTTGCTATCCTCTAAGGCTGAAAAAGCATCACTTGCCCAAGAACACCCAGTAGGTTTTCAAAGAGGAATGAAATTTAAACCCTTGTCAAATCACTACACTATGCTGTCTCTATGCACCGGGATTATGGCAGAGCTGGCTGAGTGTCAGCTGCATCAAGATCACTCTGACCAAAAGGTTATGCGTTCGAAGCTAGCCCGGGTTGGAGTGGGCGTCCAACCAATTGTGTAGCCTATTGTCGACCTTTGCAACCCAAAAGACAGTTGCATCTGTCAAGTAGGAAAATTAGGTACCACCTTGAAGGTACCATAATTTATGAGGCCATTAAAAAGACTCCAGCAAAGCACTCCAGCAAAAAAGCATGCGGGGAATGTGGAAGTACTTCATCAGTGTCGCAGATGGACGATGAAAGCGACAGCTCCCCTGGCGGCCAGAAAAGTTAAATAGCCTCTGTGTATGTCTGTATATGTTGTATATCAAAATTGGCATTGAATGTTTGCCATATATGTGTACACTGTAATCTGAGTCCCCTGCGGGGTGAGAAGGGCAGAATATAAATGCTGCAAATAAAATAAATAAATAAATATGCTTTTAGTTTATATTCTGCTTATCTGAAGCAAATGTAATTGTATGGGTCTCTGCTTCTTGGTCATAAAATCTAAAAAACAGACTGAACTATCAAGATTTTGTCTTAAGTTCAATAACATTTGGATCTGCTTTTAAATAACATTACTAGGTTGCAATGTCACTCGTGTTGTATTTTGGAATGGTCATATGACTGGTCAAATAAATAAATTGATTGAGGCTGCAATCTGGGCTGAAAAATGCGGTATAGAAATAAAGCAAATAAATAAATAAATAATATGCTGTGTTTTAAATTTTGCATTCAAGAAGGCAGTGACTAGATCTTTGGCTCTGATGGGGGTTCATCAGAGTGTTTTTGTAGGAAATTGTGGGGTGTGCTGTATCTACAGCTCAGAAAATCACTAATGCTGCATGTTGAAACATACTTGGAGAATATATTGCTCTGCCTTATGGCCCCATACAGACTTTCTGTGAATGAGGAGAGTATATTTAAAGTACCAGATTTAATTGCATTTTGGAGTTCTGTGATCTAGTGATGGACATTTTTAGTTATATTTATCATTCGACAGAATTATAATAAAAAAGAACAGATTTCTTATTCATTAGTAATGTGTGTGTGTGTGTTTGAGAGCAGAATAGAAAGCTTGTTCTCATTTGCTCTTCAACCCATTGTCCTATTTTCAGGTACTTCATGCTGGTTGTGGCCTTGCAAGCTCATGCCCAGAACCAGAACTACACTCTGGCAGCTCACATCTCTGAGCGCATCATTGTTAGAGTAAGTCCCTCTTTTCTCTCTTTGTCTTATAGACCATGCTTTTCCTTACTTTTAAGTACCTACCTACAGCTCTAGACTTGGCTTGTCCTGGGTTCTGTTTCAAAACAGTCCCTGATTTTCCCATCAACTTTCACTGACTTTTTCACTGTTCCCATCCATAGCCCTTATACCCTACAACTGTCTTGCTTTCTGTGCTTTCACTCTTTCCTATCCAGAAAGATGTTTCTGCAAGCACCAAGCATATTTCATGGCTTACTAAATACTAATAGAGCATACATGGGTTTCTACAAAGGCCGAATCTTGATTAAAGTGCCCAAAGCCAAAATGAGGACCCAATCCATTGCCTAGGGGACATGATTTAGCTTGCAGTTGCGGCATGCAGCCCTTTTCCTCCATCTCAGGCTATAGGGAGATGTGTATGTCAAATGTTCATCAGCACGGTGCTGATGTTAAACCAATCCACAGCATTGCACTTGTGCAGACACATTCTTTAAGGTCCTTGGGAAATGAATGCTGGGAACAAAGGGAACCTAGAATAAATCTGTGATTCCACCAAGAAGACTGTGGTGTGTTCCTATTCTACCCTGCCTGTGTAAGGGCTGTTTTGCACACAGAGAGGCTTCAGTTCAGCTACTTGACTTCTTAGCAGACTTCGGGATAGATCAGACCCTTGGGCCCTGGAGACCCTAAACTTGGGGAAGGGCATGGGAAGAGGTCACTTTTAGCTCTTTCACAGCCAGAGATTCTAGCAGATAAAGAGGACACTAGGCTGTGACTTTATGGTTGGCTATCTCCGCCCTGCTGCCTTTTTAAGTGCTGTGTCCATTTCCTCCAGCAAAGGGCCGGTTCGGGGGTAAAACACAAACAGAGGGCGGACGGGGACCCCGGAGTCTGCAAACAAGTAAGTAGCATGTTGAACTACGCAGTCTCCGGGGTGGAGGTGAGGAGGGGGGATCTGTTGTAGAATAAGGGAACAGGGCAGAGGTTAGTTGTCCCTAGTTCTGTCAGTGAGGTTCACAAAATGTCTGCATTAGTGTAAATCAATGGTTTGGTTGCACATCTGGTGCAGGGCTGATTTGTATAACCCACAAGTGATGTTGATGTGAATGCCAACTATAGAATATCATCTGATATATATCTGCCTTGTCAACCACTGTTTTACACACGAATTTTGGTTGGTGGACCTTGAAGTTCTACTGATAAATTGGATCCTACACAACTATTCACATCTGGGTTTTAAAAGGGCCCTGAAAGATGCAAAAAAAAAAAACCCAACAAAACCCACAACTCTGATTGTTTAAAACATATAATTGGAATTGTATCCATTTTATACTTTTGCAAACCAAATGCATTTGAAAAGAACTAGTTATTTTGCTAATTGAGGAGATAGGCATATAGTGTGTAGGATACTGATTCTGGTGTCCAGAAGTCTTTTAAAAAGCTCTCTGTGGCAAAGGTGGCTGACATGTTTTCATTCCCATGTGAGATCAAAATCTATGTAATACATGTTCTATACAAGTGCACAAAAGAAAAATATTTTGTTCCTTTGCTTTTGTGTAACTCTGCCCTAACCACAGAGGCTTAACCCTGTGACACCACATGATTGTGGCTTATTAAGAATTTGTTTTCTGTATATTTTCATGCAGAGATTATTATTAGATAGGAAGATATAATGGGTAGGTTACACAGTGCTATAGAACTAGGGTAGCAAAATCATAATCCTGGGACCAGCTGCGCAGAATCTTTCTCTTTCCTGTTGCTCTGCTCTGCTTATCTCTACTATTTTCCATGTTCTGATTTCATCCAAGTGGCCATGTTATCTTGTTTATCTATTATCCCAAGACCTCAAAGAACAGCATATAGAGAAATATGGGCAAGTTAAACTGAACCCTAAGTTTAGCCAACAATGTGATGCAGCAGCAAAAAAAGCCAATGGGATTTTGGCCTACATCAATAGGAGTCTAGTGTCTAGATCTAGGGAAGTCATGCTACCCCTCTATTCTGTCTTGGTTAGACCACATCTGGAATACTGTGTCCAGTTCTGGGCACCACAATTGAAGAGAGATGTTGACAAGCTGGAATGTGTCCAGAGGAGGGCGACTAAAATGATCAATGGTCTGGAGAACAAGCCCTATGAGGGGCGGCTTAAAGAGCTGGCCATGTTTAGCCTGAATAAGAGAAGCCTGAGAGGAGACATGATAGCCATGTATAAATATGTGAGAGAAAGTCATAGAGAAAGGGAGCAAGCTTGTTTTCTGCTGCACTGGAGACTAGGACGGGAACAATGGCTTCAAACTACAAGAAAGGAGATTCCACCTGAACATGAGGAAAATTTCCTGACTGTGAGAGCTGTTTAGCAGTGGAACTCTCTGCCCCAGAGTGTAGTGGAGGCTCCTTCTTTGGAGGCTTTTAAACAGAGGCTGGATGGCCATCTGTTGAGGCTGCTTTGAATGCAGTTTTCCTGCTTCTTGGCAGGGGGTTGGACATAATTCTATGATTCTTGGAATTAATTTTACTATGAGGGTACAGGCCAAGTGAAGAAATGGAGAAGAGCATGATTATTTAAATAAGGGAAATACATGGGAGGGGGGCTTGTTGTGCCCAGGTCTTTGTGATATCTTAGCTTACTATTATCTTGGGAACTGCACCTAAGTCTTCCTTAACAGTCCTCTGCGGGTTTATTTTGTAAGGGGGTTTATTGAACTCACATCTGCACTGAAATGGGAAATGCAACACAACACAAGGGAGGGAAGGGCTGGGAAAGCATGTCTATTTAACTGGAATTCTAGATGCAAGCTGATCCCTTGTCCTTAGTTGGAAAGCTGATTCAGACAGCTTTTCCCATATCATAAACAGCTTAGTGTCAGAACAAAAGTGTAGTTCAAATGCAGAGCTGGTTTTGACAGAGGTTGTATCATCAGCTCCTAACATGGGCAGAGAACAGTATGTTCTTATCCATGTGAGTAATCAAAAACAGGGATTCCCATAATACTATGTAATCCAACTCTGTAACTTGCTACATAAACATATAGCGAAGGTAACTAAATCCACCCGTAGCTGTCTAATATGCTGTTTACTTGCAAAGACATTCACTAGGCTAGTAAAGGTACTCGAGTCAGTTTTAACTACTCTGATATATTGGATCCACTGGCTTGATGTTACTCAGTGGACAATATTTTTTAAAATTATGCAGCTTAATCAACATCTATGTGAACCACCACCACCACCACCCATGCTCCTTCTGGAGTAGGAGGTAGCTCCACCTTGCATTTAATCTTACCTTTCCTTCTCAGATCTTAGTTTCTCTTTACAATGATTGTTTCCTATGGACTTCCTTCTCTTTCTTTTGCAGGCCTCTAATCCAGGTCAGTTTGAGAGTGACAGCGATGTTCTTTGGCAGCGTGCTCAGCTCCCTGACACTGTCTTTCACCACGGCCGAGTTGGCATCAACACTGACCGCCCTGATGAAGCCTTGGTTGTCCACGGCAATGTGAAAGTCATGGGATCTCTTATGCATCCATCGGACGTCCGAGTAAAGGATGACATCCAGGAGGTAAGAGCTCAGCACTGCAGGAGTTCCACTTTGGAAATTCAAACAACAGCACTCCAGTTTCATAGAATAATAGTTGGACTAGATGGGCCATCTAGTCCAACCCCCTGCCATACAGGAAGTTTATATCTGTAAACTGAACTATTTCATGAAAATTGTGGATTTTCTTTGGATATAGTTACTACTTCTTACTAGCCAAACTGAGAATACCATGTTAGAAACAGACCAATCTCTCTGATAAACACAGTATAGTCCATGGAGTAGCAGATGTCCTGCTTACAGATTTCAGAAGCTCAAAATTCAGAGAAATCACAAGCAATATTAAAGAAGGCTATCTGATCTGAAATTGGGTTGCTGTGTGTCTGTATGACCATGTTCCAGAAGCATTCTCTCCTGACGTTTCTTCCACATCTGTGGCAGGCATCCTCAGAGATTGTGAGGTCTGTTGGAAACTAGACAAGTGGGGCTTATATATCCATGGAATGTCCAGGGTGGGAGAAAGAACTCTTGTCTGTTGGAGGCAAGTGTGATTTGAAATTAACAATTCCTTCTGTAGTTCTTGAACCAAATTCCATATAAAGATTGAGAAAAAAGCAGGACCCCCCCCCCCTTCCAAGGCACAAGGAGCAAGACAGAAAGAAGTGAAAGACAATGTAGCTACATCAGCAAGGAATTTTCATGAATAATTTATAAATTGATGATTAAGGATAAATGAGTACATGGTAAGAAGAATATAGAACATGTGGCAGAAGGAAGGCCCACTCATGAATCAAACAGTACAGAATATAATGCAGGGGATTAAGAAAATTAAAATGGAGAAGTATAAAGAATTTGAAAGAAAGATTATACTAAAATGGTACAGGACCCTGGCCCAATTATCATACATGACAAAGGGATTAAGACCAATGTGTTGGCATTGTGGGGGGGGGGGGGGGGGAGAGAGAGAGAGAGAGAGAGAGATGGTATTCGCACATATTGTGGGAATGCCCAAAGGTAATTCCCTTCTGAGAAAAGAAAAATATTGAGAAAATATTTAAAGTTCCATTACAGGTAAATTTAGATGTGCTATTAATGAGAGTAATGGGTGACACCAGAATCAAAGCAAGAGAACAAGAATTTTTCAGAAGTATGATTCAGGCAGGATAAGCGGTCATTGCATGAGGGTGGAAAGACAAAAAAAATGGATAATGGAAAATTAAAATAACTATATGATCAATTTCAAATTATAACAAGCATAACGAAGGATGATATTCAAGAAAATAAACTAAATGACATGTGTAGAATGGGTTTAAAAAGGGGAAGTCAAAATAAGCATCTTATAGAAATTAGGAAAATTGTGTGCATGGTTAAAGATAATAGTATAGAATAAATATATGGTGAGGGGAGATGGGCAACACGGGTGGCTTTAATATTAAAAAGTAGTTAAATGTTAATTTATTTTTAAAGGGTGTATATAAGAAGACCTAATGTCAACCGCCTGTTGAATTAAAGTGGAATATGTACCATACAATATATGTGTAACTGTTAAGGCTGTTACGTATAACACAATAAAAAACTGTATTGTCGAAGGCTTTCATGGCCGGAATCACTCAGTTCTTGTGGGTTTTTTCGGGCTATATGGCCATGTTCTAGAGGCATTTCTCCTGACGTTTCGCCTGCATCTATGGCAAGCTTCCTCAGAGGTGAGACCTCACCTCTGAGGAAGCTTGCCATAGATGCAGGCGAAACGTCAGGAGAAATGCCTCTAGAACATGGCCATATAACCCGAAAAAACCCACAAGAACTCAATAAAAAACTTTTTTTAAAAACAAGACATTTCCATGAAGACAGCCATGAAATCCAGTTAAGAAGAGAAGGGCACAAAAAGCTGATGGATTAGACCAAAGGTCTTTATGTTGAGATGCTACTTTATTTATTCAGTTGTTTAAATTATACCCCGCCATTTTCCAAGCATGGGTCTCTAGGCATGAATTAATACAGGATATGACTAGAAGACTAATGCTGGAAGGTTAAACAACAGTTAAATAAATAAGCATGTTTTGACATCAGTAGTAACAAATCTTGCAAGAAAACTCTGTGGTAGGCCTGGGGTCACCATACATCAAAGACACTTTGAAGGCACACAACAATAAAGTTTTGAACACTGTAAAATAATCTAAAACTATTACAGTCACAATAGAAGAACAGTGCACACATATCCCATGAAAAGGTATTACTCCTGTTATAGATATTCTGTTATAAATGCCTATTCAAATACAAGTGCTGTCTTATCTGCCAGCAGAAGGAGAACAGAGTGGGGAGAGTCGCCCAGGAGCAACCACCCAGCATGCCTTTGATGGTTGTGGGGAAAAGAAAGCCCTCCCCAAGGATCTTAAGACTCAGTAGGCTCATATTGGGAGACTTTCAGAAATGGATACTCCTATTGCCTCCATGTGTCTTGGATTTAGGGCATGAAAGCAGGGATGGAAAAAGTTGCTTTTTGGACCGCACCCTCAATCTCTCAAACAGTCTGGCGACTTGCTCTCATGCTCTCTCGAACTGGGAGATTCTGAAAGTTGTAGTCTAAATAGTAACTTCCCCAACTTTTCTTGCAAGCAGCAGTCTTCCACAGTTGCTTGCCCTGGCTTCTGGTGGCAAGATGGTTGGTTTTATTCAAAGCCTTTAATTTTTGGATCATGTTTCATGATGTGGTTCATAATGGGTCAGACTGTTTCCTCTTCTCCTGACATTTCCAAGATGTCTGCCTTTCTCAAAATGAAAATAAATTGGGACTAAGGCTGGAGCTTGGTAACGAGATTCCATATATTGTGCCCACAAAGAATAAAATGGGCATGCCTTTTGATTTTTAAGAGATGTCAGCCCACATAGAAAGAAACGGTCAAAAACATCCTATTTCATAATTAGATACATTGCCATGAACCACTTAGTTTTTTGTTTTAAATACCGGGCTCTATTTTGGATAGCATCTCCTACCTGTAGGCTAAACTTTAGGACTTGTAAGCCATTTGGAGTCCAGTGTAAGAAGAAAGGCGGGATATATATTACATTACTAATAATACATATATTTAATAATAATAAACTTGGCAATCAGCAGTTATGTAAATTCCATAAGTTCTACTGTAGTCATGATCCACAATTAGATTTAAACACAAAGGCTTACTTATGCAGGATTTTTGGTTGGCAAAAGTAGGATTTGCCAAGTGAAAGCATTCCAAAATTTTCTGGGGGGCTTCAGGGCAAACACAGAAGGTCATTCAGCTACTATCTCGATATAGCTGTAGTTTTAAAGAAGTAACTGTGCTGTTCCTTAAGACAAGACCAGCATATAAGTTAGATCATGTCTAGTCACTTGTTCTCGGTCGCAGATGGAATCACTCTTCTTTTTTTATGGTTTCAGGTGGACACCACAGAGCAGCTGAAGAGGATATCCAAGATGCGATTGGTGCACTATAATTACAAGCCAGAGTTTGCTGCCACTGTGGGCCTGGAGAACACTTTTGAAACAGGTATGGTCCCTGCGCTCGCCTTGTCCTTCCTTGTTAGTCTGCACTTTAACCCTGATTAGTTGAGTTCAGTATATGTGTGACCAAACAGACTTTATGTTCTCCTGTCCTTTTGTGCTACACCACTTAAACATTTTGCTTTTGCTCATGTGACAGAAAATCAAGTTAATCAGCCTTCATTCAGGGAGGATGTGCTATTATATATGAGATGTCTTTGCTGCAGGTATACTACTAGGTTTTGTCAGGTGTCTCTTTGTATAAGGATGTCCTTTATTTAAGGGTTGGAAAGCTCATCCATTATCTGATTGGCATGTGTTCCTTATTCTTATAGGTTTCCCTATTTGAAGGTTGGAAAGTTTTTCCCTTTGAACAAAATGCAATATTTTGGGGCATGGGCCCATTTAAAACTGAAATATGTGGATCATGTAATCATGTTTACAACATAGATTACAAGAGTTAAACTATGGCTTTCATTCATCTTGAGGCTTAGCATGAAACTTTCTGATAAAGAAACGATGTTTTGATGCACAAAATTCATTTTTCTGGAAAGCTTTCCCATTGTCTGTCCTTGAATTCAAAAAGTAAAAAATAATAAGTATCACACTCCAAAGAGCTGCTGAAAGGAGCAGTATCTAAAATATGATGGTTGGTTTGCAAAACTTAGTTGTGGATCATCCTAGAGAGTACCTAGTTAAATATGTTGTGGACCTCAAAGAAAGCAGTGATATTTTGTGTGTAGTGTATGTTGTCATTTCTGTGCAGGTGAAGTAAAAAAGATCTATTTGATAGTACATGGAAACTATGTAGATATTAACTTCATGTGTAAAAAATAAGGGGGAATTCAAATGACCAAGAAAGATTGTGGATGGACAATTAGAAAATATATTATAATAATTACCATATATACAGTGGATGAATTGGAATAAGTAGAAGTCATAGAACTGACAGAGCTGTATTTTCATAATGATATATGAAGGATGTTGGGCAGTGGGGGGCATGTGTAGATCTGGGAATAGATAGTGTAACAAGGCAATTATAACATGTTAATAAAGTTTAAAAAATTGAACAAAATTCTGTGCAGGTGTCATTGCTCAGGAGGTGAGAGAGATTCTTCCAGAAGCAGTGAAAGATTCTGGAGATATGGTTTTTAGCAGTGGGAAGACCATAGAGAATTTCCTAGTGGTGAATAAGGTGAGTGGAATATAAAGAAGAAGCAAGTTACAAATGTACTGGAAGAAGGTTGGTCAGAATGGGTGTTTGGGGAAAAATATCAATTCCTTCTCAGTGTAAGTCATGAGTTGGAAATTGCTCAACAGTGAAATTCCAATCTGAGAAAGGCGTCATAGGCATTTCCTCATTGGGGGATGTGCCAAGGACAGATTGAAGTTGATGGAAACATATACCATTATTACCTATTTATAGATATATGCTTCTTCTTTAGTGTGGTGGAGACACCTTCTTTGAAGGCTTTTAAACAGAGGCAGGATGGCCATCTGTCAGGAATGCTTTAAGTGTGATTTTCCTGCTTCTTGGCAGGGAGTTGGACTGGATAGCCCACGAGGTCTCTTCCAACTCTTTGATTCTATGATATTATCCCCATCCACCCCACCCCCCACCCCCGGGGTGGGACAATATTCAAAACACTCTCTAATAGATGCTATGTGCATCTATTTAAAAATATCCCTTTACTACAGATTTCAAATTACAACTCCATTCTAAATGTGTGGTGAACCATAGTGCAACCAACATTTTTCGAGCATGCAAAGCATAGTTTTACTGTATTCACATATGTTCAGAGTTTAAATATACTTTCAAAAATGTTAAGGTATTTAAAAGTGCCAGGAACTGAAGTTATTGGATGACTTCTTATCTCTGTTTTACACTGGTTGTCTCCTGCACTGAGCAAAGAGATCCACAGCTATTGTATCTAGTCAGTAGCCAGAGATAAGAATATGGTTTTTTCAAATCTGGAGTGAAAAGGATCAGGGCCTGCCAAAAAAGCATGTGAGGTAAAAAAAAAAATATTACAAACATTTAAACTTTCACCACCTTTCTAAAGAATGTGCTTCTGTACCTTTCTGTTTTAAGGCCAGTTTCTGGTACGTTTGTGCCATTATATATCCCTTCAGCTTGGTTTTGCTATTATTGTTTTTGCTTGTTGAAGAAATCTCTGCAAGAGCTCCTACATGGAAAGATCAAGTTTTCTTTTTGATGAAACTAGAAATCTCTCTGACATGAAAGTCCATACAAGATCATGTTTTTCACAATAAAATTAAAGAATCAATAAGGGCACCGAGAATGAGCTTGAGCACATCAAATATGTGAGGACGAACTTCTGTTTTTTCTAATGACAGGAGCGTATTTTTATGGAAAACGTTGGGGCGGTGAAGGAACTTTGCAAACTGACGGACAACCTGGAAAACCGGATTGATGAGCTGGAGCGCTGGAGTCACAAGCTGGCCAAGCTCAAACGACTGGACAGTATGAAATCAACTGTAAGCTCTGGAGCATTCAGGTATTATAGAGATTTTTTTTTCAAAAAAACAGACTCACACATAGATTTTAACACTATTATTGTCTTCATGGAGTCATTACTTTGGATGGATGAGCAAGTGAGCTGTTGGAAGATTTAGCTCTCTCACACAGTTAAGCTGCAGTCCTGTATACGCTTAACTAGGAATCAACTACCCTGAAGACAGTGAAACATATTACCAGGATTGCATTAATAGAAGAGAAAACCTAACTTCGTTAGATTTTAACCTGCCTTTCTGGTAAAAAAAATCATTAGAATAATAATAATAAAACAAAAATTTCTCTAGAAAACAACATTGAAATCACCATAATCAAAATAATTTAAAGGAGCTGTGAGTAGTCCCACATGTTTATTAAATTGTAATGACCCCCCCCCAGCCCCCAAAAGGGAAGCGTAAACTACTTTCCATCCTTCCATTCAATTTATGACGATAGCCCAATTACAGTCTTTTATGAAGTGTTGCTGCATTTTAGGCATTTGAACACAGAAGTGGAACAGATGTGTCACGTATTACAGCAGGGTTATGATCAAGGAGAACATACTTCTTCCACTCTAAGAATCAGATCTTTAGACAGATCGTTTATCTCAGTTCCCTGAAGAAGCATCTTGGTATAAATCTGCATCTTCACATCCCCATTAAAAATGTACAAAGAAGACTAGCAAAAGCAAAATTGATAAATGGCAATAATCCAAAATTAACTTCACACACCTGAGATTGATTTAGAGTACTATTAATTACAAAAATTTAGGCTAATGAACACTGTGCAGCCTCACCAGCGCACAGCAGCCAGGGGAGAAAAAAATATCTCCAGCTAACCTAGAACATGGATCATTGTCTATCTCTGTAAGCTAATTTTCATACATTGATTTTCTTCCTCAGCCTTTCTCCCTGCAGCTCTTTCCTCATTTTTCATCTTTTGGCACAAACAGACATTTTCCCATTAACTAATATAATATCATCTAAAGATTTTAGCCAAAACACAATACTGAAAACATACTTTACAACATTCTGTATATAAGGGAGGTGGTATAAACACCATTGCATTCAGGTGGTGGCTATTGTTCTTTATTTCACTCCAGAGGTTTTCCTGCAAAGAGACAAGCGATGACACTGATTACTCTAAACGGGAGTTTCTCAAAGTGTGCTCCTCCAGTTGTTTTGGATGTCAGTTCCCACAATTCCTAACAGCTGGTAAGATAGCTGGGATTTCTGGGATCTGAAGTCCAAAATGCCCGGAGGAGCACAGTTTTAGAAACACTGCTCTAGACAAGCTGTCATCAATTTGGTGTGCTCCACATGTGTTTAACTATAGCCCTTTTCACCCTTAGCATGACCACTTAGTTGAGGAAGGTGAAAGTTGTGGTTCCACACACCTGGAAGGCACCAGGCTGGAAAAGCTTGTTATGTGTAACTTTCATTTATGGCCATGGTCCTCCCTTTCCCTCTCCAAACGGGCAGCTATTTTTTGTACCTATTGAGCAAAACTTGGAGAAGTAACTTGTAAAACTTGTATCTATCAGGATACTCCAAATAGTATGGCCTCAGAACTAGCTTTTCCAAGCACTTCTGTGCACCACTTTTTATTTGACTGAAAGTCCTTTTATGCTCCATAATTATAGTACTACGATTCCATTTTAACTGTCATGACAGCATCATATTTTCAGGAGATTTGCAGTCTAGGGAGAGGCATTTTGACTTTGTAGCCAGAGACTTCTAGTGCCATTAAACACAAGAAGTCCAAGAATCCCTTAGGATACCTCTGTGGCATTTAGTTGAATCATAGGGCTATAAATTTCTATTGTGAAAGGGGGCTATGACTAGAACTGAGAAGCAAAAATGAAATGAACTGAAAGATCATACGAGTGCTGGTCTGGATTCAGTCTTACTTTCCATTTCCTACAGTCAAGCAGGAAGTCAGTTCAGCCGTGCTGGAAGCATGCCACACAAGAAAAGACCCCCAAAAATGGCCAGCAAGGTAAGACATGTGTAAGATGGGTATGAATTATAGTTGTGTGATTGACCATGGATATTTTTTAAATAGCCCTGGCACGTGCTCATGAGATTGCATTATTTATTCTACATGCTGTGTTTCAGATCGCAGAACAGATTTCCTGTTATGTTATTCATTAGAGGTTGATCGAAGATAAATTGTGACCGACTGCTAGATTCTAATAGTTTAGCAATTGTTAACACCTGGAATAAAGCTCATCTACACAAATGTGGATGCTGAAGTAACAAAAACTTGAAAGGAAACCAGAAGCAGATCTGTCCATGTGAGAACTAAAAGTTGAGTTCTAATATGGAAAACAGATTTCTGGACTGGGCATGCAGTCACAGATTTCCTTTCTGTTGATCACAAATGTGTTGCCTCCTGAACTGCTAGTGTTCTTATTTTGGTTCTGGTTATAGCAGAAACCAAAGTAGATAATCTAAGCTTACAGTCTGCTGCCCCATGCTGTACCCAATGGAGATGTGCAAGTGAAAGCAAAGAATACCATTACATGTTGGAAATGCTCTAACAGCTAGACAGAATGTCATTGATAAATATAGTTATGACTGATGGTGTATTGTAAACTGAGAAGAGCTTTAGTATATTTGATGGTTTCTATAATTTCAGATCTTTGGTCTGATGTGACACTTAACCTTCCTATTTCATTCAGCAGTTTTCTGTTCCAGAGATAAGCTGCCGTCTTCTTCTCTTTACTGCCTCTATTTTATTCTGTTTTCCTCCCCAAATACAGTTCTTACAGTCCAATCCCTTAGCAACTCACTGTTGTGCAATATTTATAGTAGCTCTGCAAGTTGTGGTATAGCGGTGTCTAGCTCACATTTTCTAGTTTCATGGGAAGAAAATAAAGCAATTTAAGGGGGAAAATTGCACTACAACGTGCTATCACATATGTGCTGGAATAGAAAGATAAATCTGTCAAGCAGTCCTCTGATGTTTTTCCATTCTCTATGTGTCTTTTGTAGACCCCGTCTGTTGTCACAGATCAAGCTTGTATCAGCCAAAGGTTCCTTCAGGGTACCATCATTGCCTTGGTGATCATCATGGCTTTCAGGTGAGTTTCTACACATTCAGGCTGTATTTTCACAGCATGAAGGCTAATATATTTCACAGGATTTTACTTTTGAGAGAAGCTGGCCTCCTGGTCTGTGAATGAATGGGCAAGTCTTGTTTGTTTAAGACAGAGCATTGCTTCTGAAAACCAGTTGAAAGCCTGCTTTTTACAGCACTATGCTTTTGTCATGTTGTAGCTCTTATTACACATCTAGAGACACTACAATAGTGTCTCTACATTTAAGTTGCATGTAACAATGCATATATTATTTGCAAGGACCAGAGGAGAAGAAGCCAGTTCATCACTGGTTGCTAATCATTGAATTGACTGTAGAATTTTCTCTCTCTTCAGTTATAGTCCTTAAATGAGAACAAAATAGGGCTGTTGAATCACCCAACTTTTTATGAATTTGGGCTTCTTTATAGGCCATCAATGTTGTAACTGCTCTATCTCATTGGAACTTTTCCTGGAGTTGTTCATTTTGGGGTTTTTATATTATATCTTGTCCTTGTTCCCGGGTTGAGATGCAATGACTGGCTTACAATGACTGGCATCCTGTTTGTAGGTTATGAAGGCATGGGTGAGATCTATACCTGTGTGTGTCCTTTTTGAGTCAGTGCTGAAGTTGGCATTCCCTTCCTCCCTTTCCATTAAGCAAAGTGTCCCTCTGGATATGTTACAGAGCTGCTGAAGCCCCCAGTCCCAATAGTCATCCCAAACCTCATGGAAAGCAGGTGGAGGATTGGAGATGTCTCTGGCTATATTCCCAAAGCCAGATATTAAATAATTACATCATATGCTGAGTCCTCTGGGAGATCTTAGTGAGCATTATTGGATGATGCTATTGTTCCGCATATGGCTACATAGACATAGCCAGACATTTCTGAAGTTTTGCACTCTACAGGATGCTGGCTAATGTTTTCCTTCTCCCCAGTTAGAAATACTAAAGTAATCTTATAACTAAATAAAATTGCACATCTGATTTTTATTAGTTGATGATTCTTCAGATTTCTCTGTAAACATCATAAAAAAAGATTTCACTGGGCTTGAGTTGCTCCTATACGCAAGTGCTTGCCTAGTTGGAGAAAGTTTCTCTTCTTCCTGGAACACTGAGGATCAGCATTGTTCTCATTTATGTTTTTTCCCCATTTCTTTCTCAGTGTGGTGTCCATGTCTACCCTTTATGTGCTAAGCTACCGCAATGAGGAGGACTTGGTAGATATAGAGGGGTATGTATTGACACCTTCAGTTGCATGCCTTAGAAGGCAGTGTGTTTCTGTTTATTTCCTTAGTAATAAATATATACAAGAGTCAAGGAAGATTAGTACAAGGAAGAAATACTTTAAAAAGCAAATGCATGATTTGGTTCAGGGGAGCCTGAAGGAATCTCTAAAACAACTTGATTATTTGGGACAGTTGACTCAGTAGTGGGAAAGAACACTTTCCAGTAGACATTTTATTGCAAATCAGTGAAACTGGTCAAAATATATACAAATTATTTCTTGGAAATTAGGTCCTAGGGTGAAATAGCAAGAGTTCCCCATTATTATGACATAAAAGTAGATTTTAAACTGAGTTTTCCAACAGACCTTTTACGACTGTATGGGATTTGTAGTTCTGTCATCATTTTGTGTAGGTCTTAAGATATTTGGGAGTAGTGGTTCATTTCTGTCTCATATTCTAGGCAGTTAATAGATTTTTATCATTTTGTAGTAAATAATAAAACACATGAAGAGCTTTACATCCATAAGTTGTACACAGTACATTTTATTTTTGTAATACGCTTTACTAAGCAACTGATGGATCTTTCCCTTTCTCTTCCCTCCTCCATTTGCCTTTCTTGTTTCTCCACTACTTTTCTCCCCAACTCCCTCTCTTTGTATTTGTCCTCATCTCAATTTTCTTTCTTTCCGGCTTCTTGTGGAGATGTCCTTCCATTTCTACCCTTCTCCTCCTCTGCCTTCCTGTTGCCTCATAGTTCTTTTGCTGTGCCTACAAGTTGCCTTCTGGCTCTCTTTCAGCACAGAGGTCCGGGCATCCCAATAGCTCTCTGTCCACGGTATGGTCTTTTTTCTGTATACTGTTGATATAACTGTTGCATCCATTCTCATCTGCTCCCATGTGTCTTTATTCCACTCCCTCTTCTTTTCATTTTTACATCTTCCCATATTTAGACTCCTAATCAAAGGCAAGTGAAAATAAAAAATACTGTCTTAAATGAATGTATTAGAGTCATGCAGAAATTCCTAATCTTATAAAATCCCATAAAATTTTGGAGCTACCTGAAAAAACATATGAATATAGGATTAAAAATAAGTTGTGAGGAGCCATTTGAATGGTAAGAATGCAAGAAGGGAATTAAGTCTGAAATCACAAGCTGAACAATGTTTAATCAACTGGACAATGTTTAATCAGCAGGGACTCATTAATTTCAGTGGAATTTAATTCATAATAAATGGAGTTTTGACTGACAGTCTGTCTGAAAACATGAGTATTTTATGGCTTTTGCCCCCAAGTCATGGCATGTGAGTGAGTACCAAAAACCTACAGCCCTGTAGAAAGTGAGGCCTTGGCACTCATTCCTTTTCAGCCATCATCAGTCCATTAGGTGTAGAGCACATATGTTAAATGCAATACTTGTAGGCCAAATGTGGCCCTCCATATCATTTAATGTGGCCATCCAGACACTGGACTTCAACAGCTGTATTTCTCACAATTAGACATCATGATTAGAACTGATGGGAGTGATATCTGGAAGGTTGCAATTTGTTTAGTTTAGTCAGGTTAGTAGGGCTTGAATTGAGATACAAGGCTTTTTGATATGATGCCTGACATTAAAGTGTCATTTCACCTTTCTCCAACCTCAGAGCCACAAGTGCTGTTGGTTTGCAATTCCCATTATCCCCGTTCATTTGGCAGATAATCAGAAGTAATGGGAGTTTTCTTTCAGTAACATCTGGGGACCCAGACTGGGTAAAACTAAAGAGCACCGACCACTATGTAAAAAGAATACTTTGCCCTCTATCCACAAATTCTTCCATCCATGGGTTCAACAGCCCTTGAAAGCAACAATGAGGCTGAAGTGGCCCTTGATGGAAATGGGTTTGAGACCCTTGGTGTAGGGAGATTAGCAAAGCCACTTATCAGTATCCCTTATGTAATGTGTATGAGAATAAAGTCTGGGCTCTTCTTATGGCTTTATGCTAGCATAACCAGGAATTACTTGAGTGTAACTGCTTTTTCCAGCTGTGCAAAGGGGTTTCCAATACCTTCTTGTACAATGGTTTTGTCAGGCTGCAAATGGCTGATGGGCACAGCGCCCTCCCAACATCCTAACTGAAAGGCCCACTAATTGGTTACACAAGGCCAAGGCAGGAGAATTTCCTTGCACCACTGCCCAGCCAACTACCTTCACTTTCCAGAGCTCTTCACAAGTACATGAGTAGAAATGTGTGCTATTCCAACTTCTAAATCTCAGATTGATGGAGTTTGGAAAAGAAGAGAATTTACAGACTATTTGTATTTTCAAATTAACTTTTCCCGTTATATCTGTGTGCTATTATAGGAAAAGTAATATCTACAGCTGGAAAACAAACAAATACTGTATTTACAATCAATTTGGATTAGAAATAAATTAGTGACTTGGAATAGAAGCCCTTTTGCTAGATTTTAAGCTTCTCTTAGGTACTTTTCCCAGAGTGCGGAAGTTACTGTTGAAATTTATTTTAGCTGAAGTCTGGCCTTTTAACCCTTTTTACCCTAACCATTTGTATTTCCACTCTTTCTTTCCTTATGTTATCACTCTAGCTGTTTTCTATCTGGCTTTTTCTCCCTCTCTTCACTACAGTAACATTTTCATTCTCTTCTGATGCCATTCTTGGCCTCCTGCACAGCCATATCTTTATTCCATTGCTTTTTATTGTTGCATATGCCACATTTTTATTTATATCAACATTTTGTGTTGACGTATTTTTTAATTTTAGGACCAATGACAACATTGATAAGAATCAAATCATGTTTTCCACTGTGGCCTCCTCGAACACACCAGAAGATGCACGCCCTTCACAGCATGGTAGGTGTTGCTTGTGGCTGTCACTGAGAAAGTGCCTCTGCATGCATTTGCATATTCCCACACACACCCACACTCTAAGTGCATTGCTCAGCAGCAGTGGAGAATGTGATCAAACCCTATTTCACTTTGTGAATTTGCTGTTGACCATCACGTACAAAAGAAACAGGGGGGGTGTGCCACGGCCCTCAAATTTTTGTGTTTCTCTAATGTTTTTAGCAACATTTGGTTTTGGGTGTTTTTACTAAAAGTGTCAGGTAAATTTCACACTGATTGGCTGTTTTGTTTGTTTGATTCAGTGGTTGTGGGGCACACAGGCTGTTATTGTCTCAGAGGAAGACTTTAACAAATTTCCTATTTACTTCATGGTAAATGAAGACCTCTCCTGGGTCTAAACCAGCCAAGAGATCCAAAAAAGTGATTGTTAAATTTCCCAGTGCATCCCCAGGTCATGTGGAGGGTAACAAATATGAAGTGGAGGGGAAGCAGGAGTGAGAAGTTTAAAAAGTAAGGTTTCATGTAGATATGGAATTGTTTAGCATAACAAATTTGGGGAAGTAACATTTTTGAAGTTGAGGGATGTGACAAGGGTTCAGCCCTTTACATTCCTGCAGAAAACCACTGCAACCTAAGAGCCCCAGGTTGTTCCCTGCCCTAGCTTTCAAGAAGCTGATGGCAGACCTATAGTACGCTACTTTTTTAATGGCTGTGCTCATAATGGGAAATTCCTACTCTGTAAATGGCTGAAAGTTGACTTCAAATTCATCCCATGTGCATCCAGAACTTCACCCTGACTAAGAAACCCCCAATATGATCATGTGAATTATATTGTGTGAGTTGGCATACTTTTTCTCTGGAATGCAGGGACAAACAACAAACTTTCTCTATACTAGGATACACTTGGATCTTTTGGTCTTCGTTTCAGCCAAGGTTGAGTTGAGGTTTACAGCCCTGCTGTGGAGCCCTACAGGGTTTCTTTCTTTGTTTTGTTTTCTTCATAACACTTCTTGTTTTAATTTTCCACTGTTACCTTAAGAATTTATGGTGCTTATCCCTCCCAACCTCCTATAGCAAATGAGGTTCCTTTGTGCTCCCTTTTTCCTCCCAGCTGCCTTCAGTTGTGTTTTGACTCACATCACTTAGGCCATGGAACAATCTCTTCACATTCAAGGACCAAGGACGCGATTCCAATGCGATGAGAAGCTCACTGCAAAATGCTGATGATTCAAGGGACACAGAAACAAGCTTTTCATTTGGGTGGAGTTTTTCACCTTGTTTGACTTCGACTTATGACAACTCTGAATCCTATTCTGCTCATACCTATCCTGCTTAGATCTATGGCTTCCTTTATTGAATAGATTTTTTGACAATTCCAATTTTACATTTAGTTGGAGAGGGTATTTGTATCCTACTTTGAATCATGACCCCTTTGCTCTGACCAAATAACACCCATGCTCTTCTTTTATCTTACAGCCACAACACATGTGCCTGATTCTGCATATGGATTGTCTGCTCATAGTATAGCTGTGTGCTTGAACCCACCTTGTTTCTCTGTTTGCTGTTCTTCTGTCCCCAACAATATGTCTTCTGCTGCAGTTTCTGATGCTACCACCACAGTCACCGCCAACCGGACAGGTAACCCTTACTTTTTTCAAACTTTGGAGCAGAGCTTTCAAATTGGTGTGTTGTGATACATTAGTGTGTCAGCTGCAGTGTGCAAGTATGTTGCAGAAATGTAGAGGTAGTGCCAGACTATTGGCAAGGATCTGGGAGTTCACACCTTCTCTTTGTTTTCGCATAAAATATAACCCCTAGTTTCCATTATTTTTCCAAAATATTGTCTGCTCCTATTACTTCTGTTCCATATATCATGCACCCTTTTATTGAATTTAAAGGGATCTAGATATTGTGTTGAGGCACGATGTTGTGCCATTGTAATCTGCCTTGAGTTCTCCTGTTGGGGTAGAGGAGGGCGGGGTACAAGTATGGCAAATAAATAAATAAATATTCATGGTAATGCTGAGTGTACAACTGTACATGTATCTTGAAGCACCATGGAGGAGCACAAAGGTTTTTCTTAAATAAAATAAATAAATAAATAAATGGTTTTTCTTAAATAAAAGAGCTTACTTGTGATCCCATCTGCTCCTAAAGTTCCTTTAGCAGAAAGTAGGAAAGGGAGAAATTGTTATTATTATTTGCTCTAAATTTCCTGATTGCTTTTCAGGCATTGCATTGCTCTTCCAAATTTTAGTCATGCTATTATAGCCTCCTGGGTCCAAACACATTCTAATGGGGAAGTTCCCATGACATTGTACACTGAACTGACCTACTTTGTTGGAGATAGCAACCTTCTCAAGCCTCCTCTATTTAATGTTTTGTCTGTTTATAATGTATCATTTTATTTCCTGAAGTGTATGTCTTCTTTGGTTTGCAGTTTCCTTAGCTCTATGTACTTGAAGCAGTGAAATGATGGAGCCCCAATATAGGTTTGTTAATGGACTGAGAATGAAGCATTCTTATGTAGTGGGTCCTTGGTATCAATTGGAGCTTGGTTCCAGGATCTCATTGGATACCAAAATCTATGGATGCTCAAGGTCCATTATATATATAACGGTGTAATAAACTGGTGTCCCTTATACGTATAAAGTGGCATAATCAAAATTTGCTTCCTGGATTTGTTTTCTTCTTCTTTCAAGCCATAAATGATTGAATCCATGGATATGGTTAAAAATAAAAATGAACTTCTACTTAGTACCTCTTCTTTTTCTGTACACATTTTTCTCACATTCCTAAACTACCCTCTTGTTGTTTTGTTGCAGACCAAAGCCTTTTGTCACTCTTACCAGTGACCAATATCAAAGCCAAATCCAGGGGAGTCACGGGCAAAGTGGCTTCTCATACAAAGTGGCCAAAGACTTCAGAGCGATCACGGGGCTTTGGCAGCCCCAATGCCAGCCCATCCTCCCCCTTTTCCCACATCCAGGGCAAATCCAAATACATTTCCAATCTTCCTATATCATATAATAACTTTCCTCCTGGAGAGTCACGACAGCGACGTGGCATCAGCCAACCCGGCCCAGAGGGTTCTAGCACAGGAAGCACTAACCAAAATGGTAAGTCCGGGATGGCATTTTCCCCATTAAAACCTCTGGTGAATTCTCCAAATGAATCTCCAATTGTACTGTCCAGTCTGTCCTTAGGTGGTGCCTTAGAAGATAATTAGACAATTGCACAGAGGCTGAAAGTCATTTCCTTTCTGTACAGTCTCTGAAAGTGCTCCTAGATATCTCTATCTGTGTCTGAGTCCTTCCCAAACATGGTCTCTCAGTGGTTTGGGTAGAGGGTTTGGTGGAAGGGAAAAGGCTTTGTGGTTTAGAAATATATTACAGCAGGGTTCCTCAAACGAAGGCCCAAGGGTTGGAGACGGCCCTCCAAGGTCATTTACCTGGCCCTCGCTCAGGGTCAACCTAAGTCTGAAACAACTTGAAAGCGCACAACAGCAACAATCCTATCTCATCAGCCAAAAACAGGCCCAAACTTTCCATTGAAATACTAATAAGTTTATACTTGTTAAAATTGTTATTCATTTTAATTATTGTATTGTTTTAAAGTGGTTTTTTTACACTAAAAGAAGATATATGCAGTGTGCATAGGAATTCATTCATGCTTTTTTCAAATTATAATCTGGCCCTCCAACAGTTTGGGGGACTGTGACCTGGCCCTCTGTTTAAAAAGTTTGAGGACACCTGTATTACAGTCTTAAGAACAGTGGATGCCTGGTACTTGGCCTTTCCTTGCTTAAAGAGTAACCTTTCTGCATGTTTTTTCTCCCTTAGCTCCTCTTCTTCAAACCATAGCACTTGTGGAGAGTAATGTGGCCTTTGAACCCCAGGCCTGTGCTCCTGGTGTTGAATGCAGGTGAGTGTTTGAAGTGGCGTGCTGCCATGTACTGCAGTGATTGTAGATGGGATCAATTCAGATACATTTTAAAAATCAGTATAATTTATATGTGTTGATTATGACAATTTGTATACATTTTTTTGGTTGGTGATGAAATTGTTTTCTGCAGATGAGCATGAAACCTAACAGAAATATTTGAATAGAAGCAGAAATCATGTGAGGTAGAATACTAGTAGTTAAGACTGTCAGTTGCTGAGGAGGAGAGAATGAAGATCAATTAAAAAGAAGTAAGAGCTGAATTAAAAAGAAGTAAGGGCAGTGGTGGCACAGTGGGTTAAACCACTATAAATTTTTTTCTTTGCCTCTCTAGGACAGGAAACATCACTTATCGCATCCCCATCAGCAAGTTTACCCCTGTGAACACAAACCTGACTCTGGAGATGAAGTGAGTAACGGTTCTAGGGAAAGTAGGGATACTAGGAAGGGACTCACTCTGAAGTGGAAATGTGGGCAATTAGCAGGGAGTCATATTTTGAAGAAGGGTAAGCAAAGCATTGCATAATTGAATTAATATATGAGAAAGAAGGATTGTGTTTCCTTCTATTTGGACTGGAAGTTAGTTAGAAAAATACTGAAAGACAGAAAAGATGGTGGAGGAGGAAAAATAATCATGCAGTTGGCATCTATGGATCCACAAGCAGAATCTGGCTACTTCTAATGTGAACTATTTCTTCTAAGAATTGAAGAAAAAGATATATCAATAGATTCTCCTGTGTCTTTTTCTGTCACATGATTCTTTATTGTTCCACAGATACTTTAAAGAAAGTTTTAGGGAGAGAGGCATGTTGATCCTGTTCACCTTGTTACTTTATCTTAAAGTGTTTTTCTCTCTCTTCCCTAGTACTTCTTTGGCTGTGTCTGCCTATTTTTGCAGTCTTGTGTCCACCAACCCATGTCAGGATAGTGTTGTGAACACAGACAACTTCTCTGATGCAGCAGACACCCAGGTAGGATCAAAAAGTATCTTAGATGGAAGGCATTGGCCAGCTAGGTAGTAAGCAAGCCTTGACTATTGCTGGTTTAACTTGCATTGATTTGATTATTTGTGAGTTTACCATTGATGATTAAACAGAATTGGGGCAGGGGACCTTTTGAGACCTACTGTACACTGCAAAATGTAAAGAAAACTAAAACAAGTTTAGTAAGTCATAGATGCATATGTATTATACTTGTGTGTGTGTTTAATATGGACAACAGTAATTAGAATTACGATGATTTGGTTGAGGGGTAGCTAGAAATATTTGAATTTTTCCCACTTTTGCAGAAGTTCTCCATTCTTTATCCCCAGGATTGTGGAGGGCCAATTGTATTGTCTTTCATTTGTGTGCACTGTTGTGTGAATGACCTTTGGATCCTCAGAACCTGTGGGTAGCAGTTCTAAATCTCCATTTAACTAGAAGTAGAAGCAATAGAATCTAGTAGGTCTTATTGATGGATATACACATGCAATTGTGCTATAAGGTGCAAAGGGGAAAACTATATTAAACAGCACTACATCTAACTATTGTTGTTTGTAACTTCTACTTATATTTATGGTGTAAGTATTTAACCATGTATTTGGGAGCATGTGTAGTGTTGTCTCTTCCCTCCAAACACATCTGTCTAGTTAGTATGCTGCATTTTTCTATTCATTATGATTTAAAATTCCTGGCACCCCCTCTCTTATTCCTCATCTCTTAGTACAGAGAAGATTCAGCAGTGGATTACTGAAGCAAGAATAATGTGTCTCCTCTCTAGTTTCAGTTGTTTGCTAGTAAGAGGCAGCAAAGGACAAGGTCCATTTGGCTTTAGCAAAGGGAATTGATCTGTGTTAATAGCACCAGTTTCCATTTCACAGCCCATGTGTGTTTCTTCATCTTCTCTAGACTGCAACAACCTACAGATGGCCTGTGACAATGCTGCCTTTCCAAGAGTTTACCTACCATTTTCGATTCACTAGCCCTGTGAGTATATGTACCTACTGGGTCCCCTGCAACCTGCAGAAATAAGAAATTTCACTTTATTCTGGTAGAAAGGCATATCTATAAGATAACACATCTGTCATTCCAGAGTAGAATCTATCTACAGCACCAGACCAATTCTAATGGAATGGAAGATTCCCAAATCAAATAGTTATACCACATTTACTTGAATCAAATGCTCAACATTTTGGGCAAAATTAACTAGCTAGAAGTGAGGTGTGCCTTAGATTCAGTGGCACGTTAGAATCACATACATAAACCAGCCTGCCGAGGAGAACTGTTTCCCAAGTGGCCTCATTCACAAGTCCTTCAAAATCTCTCCTTCGGTCTTGAAAGCCTTGTGAATGAGGCCTTAGTTGAGAAGCTACAGCAGCCTCGAGTTTGCCAGCCTCAGCCTGATGGAGGGACACAGCCTCTCCTTACCCGTTGACCTTTCTGAGGTGGGTAGCAGAACAGCTAACAGGCGAGGGGAAGCCACGCACTACATTTGACAAAATTTTTTTTGCAATGCACACCTTAAAACTTGAGGTGAGTATTACAATCAGTGGCACATTACACTTGAATTACTACAAGTAAATGAGTTTGCATATTAGATCCATGTATGAAAATATAAACAAAGAATATGAATATTCAAGATTTAAATTCTCTTGTGAGTATTGATATTTTTTTTCACATTATTTCAGATTTTTTTCCCTTTTCTTTTATGTGATACATCCCAACAATCAACAAAATTTTGCCATACAGGACTTATTTCAATACACATTATTCCAAAAATAAATATTCCTTAAATGACATTCTATACATTCCTTAGTTATGTATCGCCCAACAAACCCCCCTCCCCCCATTCATGAGTATTGATAAGCAATCCTGTACCCATTGAAAGGAATATCTCTGGCTTTCATTGGGATGACATATTAATATGATACTAATCTGAGGATGAATCAAGGTATAGATTGTCAAGGTACAATCCAGATTCAGCACTATTATAATGTGTTGAAGTAGTTGGTTTCTGTTCTGAGGTATCCCTTCTTTTATGGAACCTTTCTGCAGGGATACATGGATTTTTTAAAGGAAGAATTAACATATATCGATATGGTAGTAGATGAAGTAGATTTGTTAAGGCAGACATGCAAACTTCCTTGCCTCCCTTAAGACTGACTGAGTGCATGTTTCTCATTAGATTCAGACTAGATATTGATTTCTAACCTTTCCTCAGTTATCAGGGAGGCATATGTGCAGAAGTTATTGTTAGGGGAAACTGCCCTAAAATATAGCAGAGCATCCAGAAACAGCATTATCTCACAGCTAGCAAAGTGTTAAGTGCTATGTGATGTGGCTGTAAAGAATTCAGAGCTTAAGAGGCAAACATGCAGAGTCCAATCTTAAAAATCACAAAAGGTTTATTTACAACAATAAAGAACTAACTACATTTCTTCATGGTAAAGAACTGGGTCTGAGCTACTCTCTTCTAAGATTTCAAGAGAGGGAAAAAATCATCCAAGCACTACATCTCTCTGACACACATGCAGGGAGAGATCTCAAAGCACACAGCACACACTCGCCATAGCAAATACTCTTCTTACACTTACTAAAGTGTAAGAATGCAGAAGTCAGATTCAAAACGCTTGCAGTAGAAAAGCATCCATTTTAAACAACCAATCAGAATCAGATCAGAAACAAAGAGGAGAGAAGAAATTAAATACATTTCAACTGTCATACAGGAGACAGTGGGGAAGGGAAACCCTCAGACTATTCTAATGCTAACTAACTTCTTGTTGAAGGCTTGAGACTTGGGCAGTGTGGGGTTGAATCCCAATATGTGTATTATAGAAATGCTTACAATAAATTTCCATGCTTTTCATTACCATCCTGCCCCAGAATCAAAGAGTTAATTTGAGAGATCTAGAAAGATGCATTCAGCTACTATTTCATTTTCCACTTTGTCTTTGAATTTCAACTCCAATTCCACTTAATTCTTCATCAGAATAATTAAAAAAAACTGAATAGCCTGCCACATTATTTTCGGGTTTTATGCTTAGCTGATTAGTCAGTACCTTTGTGCTCTTTCCTGTAACATATTGCTAAGGTGGGATAGTGCTCCTTTTCCATGCAGGTTTCCATTCCCTTTGAACATTTTCTTCTTTTCCACTTTTCTCATCACAGGGCCAAGCAAACTGCAGTACTGATGTGGAGCAGAGGGGTTTCCTCTTTACTGACTATTACTTCCAGTTCTACTGGCTCTGTGAGTGAGTCTCAGGAGAACCACTGTTATTTCACAGGAACGGAAATGAGCCCACAAGACTCATTGAACTGGATGTTCCCTTCTATGGACCCAAGCCCTATCTTGTTGCTTCTGATCTGTAAGCCATTCCCTCTTGAGCTGGTTTGGTTCTTCTTTCAAGTGGTGGAATGGTGGCATTAAAATGTCGTGCAACTTGGGGAGGAATACGACCGCTAGGAAAACGCTGAAAGGCAGTTTCTTTTTGCTTGTTATAGAAAAACGGCATCTCTCTTCCCCCCCTCTTTATTACACTGGATTTGAAACATTTACACTGGATCGTGCTTGGGTTTGGTCCATTACGACACCTCAGAACTGTAAAATACAACTTGGCTGGGAATGGATCTCAGTACCCAGAGAAGCCAATGAAGCAACTTGCTAAGATATTGGTATCTCTTTTTCACAACACTAGGAGACCTCTTTTAAATGAAGTGGAAACACTGGATTCTTTCCATAAAGGAACATTGTGCCTGGATGTATTGCAAGTCATACACTGGAGTTTCTGGCTTGGCTGGCAGCTAACCATTTCTCTCTAAATCTGTGCTCTGAAAAAGTCCTGACGACACTGGAACTTGTGATTGACCGGTCATTTTGAACAGCAAATGCCAATAGAAAAGCTACAGGATTTACCTCTGGCTTTTTCCCCTCTATTTTGCCATATATTTACATTCCAAGGGGAAGAAACCTCAAGAACTTTCTCAGGCTGGCTTGTATTGCCCCCAATGTGCCTTATTTTTTCAGGGTTGGATGACAAATGCTTTTCAGAAAGCATAGTATGTTTTTAACCACTTCCTCTTAAACCAACTCAGAGCAAGCTTCTGGACTTTACCATTGGATTCTAACAACTATGGTGTTTTGATGCAGATTGTGAAAGCCTTGAAAGCCCAATACATAGGGCAGATCCAAAAGAGTGTGTGGCAAAGCCCATGCTAAACATCACCGTCTTGTGCCAAAGGCTCAGGAGAAGAGACCACCAGAAGAGGTCTACCTTATGATGACAATATCCAGACTGAAAAGAATTTTGATCCCCAAGGGGTCTATGTCAGAAACAAACAGGAATCCCTTTTCACTCCAGGCCTTTGGGTCTCTTTGAAATTCTGAGGATATTGTGGGTAACTTACTGTTACAAGGTTTTAACTTGCTAAACCACTTTTTTTTTTAATTGAGCTTCTTTAGTTATTGATTCACTAGCCTCTCATAGGAAACCAAAATGGGCTGGTGCTGAGCACCAGCCAGCACCCAGACTCTAAATTGGGTTCTGGGACAAACCAGGACAGATATACCTGCACAACTATTCAGCATTTCAAGATTTTACCCAGTATTCGAAGAAGGGTGGCTAGTTGAGACTTCTTTTTAAGAGTAAAAACAGCTGCATGGGTAGAATAGGAAATATTAGCAAGCTGCTACCTTTTTCTAATCCTGAATCTGATTTTAAATTGACCATAGAAAACCAAAAACCAATATGCTTTTGGGTGATTCTTGTCTCCAAGCACAGAAGGATTAACGTGGAAAGAACTCTGTTGATGATAGTTTAGGGTTTTTTTAAAAAATGCATTGTTAAAAATTATATAATGATGCCTACATTTCTGGATGAAGCTGCCTATTACTTGGTGCCCCAAGGTCATTTCTATTGTACATATGTGATCTGGTTTGAAACTCACTGCTTCATCTTGGTGACAGGATATGTTCATGCCCCACTAGACTATAGAAACTAAGACTCTTGGGGAGAAGGCAAAGTCATGAAAGATTCCTAATTGTATGCATATGATCTCAGTGTCTGTTAGAGCTGCTCCTTGTGATTCCATATGTTGAGCTCTTAGAAACAGTCATCAAGAAATGGGGCAACTAGGTTTATAGCATCACTGGAAGCAGTAGATATGGGCACTGGGGCCGCAAGCAGAAATAAATTAAACTACCTTGATAAGGTAGATTTTTTATTCTTTGTGTCAGGAGCGACTTGAGAAACTGCAAGTTGGTTCTGGTGTAAGAGAATTGGTCGTCTGCAAGGACGTTACCCAGGGGACACCCAGGTGTTTTACCATCCTGTAGGAGGCTTCTCTCATGTCCCACTTGAGAAGCTGGAACTGACAGGTGGGAGCTCACCTTGCTCCCTGGATTCCAACCACCGACCTTTCAGTCAGCAGTCCTGCCAGCACAAGGGTTTAACCCATTGTGTAACCTGGGGCTCCGATAAGGTTGATAATAGCCTCTGACTTGACTACTTTACATGAAAAGATGTGCAAGTACAATTGCTAATTGTCACCACTGTGTGGCACTCCTTACACAAGACAGAACCATATCATCCCTTGGCAGAATGAAAGTGACTTACGGCACAATTTGATGTGATAACAGAGATCCATAATTACCTTCCCCTTTTAACAGTTATTTTGGCACTATGTCAAATAACATAAAATGTCAGACTGGAATATGTAATTTGATAGTGGCATGCAGTTGTTGTGCTCTTAAATCAGCTTTGACTGCTGAAAAGCCTTCTGAGAGACCTCTGAGACACCTGTTATTAGAAGCCCTGCTCAGGTCTTGCAACCTCAAGGCTGTGGCTTTCTTGACTGAAACCATCTACTGGTAGTAGTCTTTTCCTACTGCCTTCAGTTTTACTGAGAGTTGTTATAGACAGCAACAGCATGTAACAAGAGGTAAAAAGTGGAAGACAGTTATTTCAGAAGCTAATAACACTTTAGCCAAGGCAATTTTCTCTCTATTTAATTGCAAATCAGAGAAGAACAAAATCAGTTCAGGTTGCAATCCATGCTGGTTTTTCTTTAACCTCTTGAAGCCAGTGGAACGTCCTTTGAGTGAATGTGCACAATTAAGCATCTCTTAAGAAAGTTGGGCCAGAAATGCAGAACAGATTTGGGTGTTGCCTATGAAACAGCTTATTACTGGCCATTTAGCTGAGCAGGTGGAATTCTCCCTTCAACATTTTTGAATTGCTAAATAATCCTAGATATTTCTAGGTAGAATTCATTATGCAATGAGTCTGCCTTTTCCATCCAGAAATTACTTTCTGCAGTAAGAAAAATAAATTGATTGAATGTGGTTAAAAACGGTCAGATTACAGGCATTAGACAATTATGTTAGCATGCCCTGTAAAATTTCATGGAAATAGAATGGAAACTAAGAGCAACTTTTGTCTAAACCTGTTCTTAATTATTCCCATCCTCTTTCTCCCAAACGAACACGCACAGTCTAAATTAGGAGAGAGAACTGCTAATAGAATAAGACAAACATATTAATAGGGGGTCCATTTATTGCCTTTGTCAGTGATCAACATTCCTTTTCTTTTAAAAAATGATTGAAAAGCTTTTTCGGTCTTATCTTCCTGCTGGGTATTCTTGTGATTGAGTGAGTTCCTTTAACCATTATCCCTCCCAACATTTACCTACAAATCTCTTGGGGCACCAGGTTTATTTATGGCAAGCTGCATCCACTCTGTGATAATGATACATGGAGAAAGTCTTATGACTACTTCCTGATAGGCATTTTTTCCAATACTCTTTTTGTATTTTTCCAATACTCTTGTGTTGCTGCATAGCTGCTTGTTTGTCAGATCCGATTTATTGTGCATGTCCCCTCAACCTGGAGCTATTTTTCCTGCTACAGCTCTGCCCCCAAATATGCATTTTCAATTTATAATGATCACCCATGAAGATTCAGTAACAAAAACCAGCATGCAAGACAGGCATTCTGTAATCCTTTAAGTAGTGTTTCCCATTTTCTGGTGATGATGCTGAGACTGGCTCTCAGCACTCTTTTTACCCCCACCCCCCACCCCAGCCTCTGCTTTTGGAGCAGCCACCATTTGAGTGATGGATTCATATATTACTCCAAGGTTGACAGCCGTGCCCACATTTCTATCTAATGAAAGATTCTAGTATCGCACAGGAAGCTTTTGTGAATAAGCTCTTTTCCACTGTCACCAATCAGCCACTTTCATTATAAAGAATTCCTCCTGCCTGTTCTGGAGCTTCTCATAATAACCCAAGAGAGAGAGAGAGAAATCTACCGGTTTCCGCTCACTAAAATAACACTTGTAGCAGCTCATAACAGAGGTGGGAGGGTTGGTTATTCCTCTTAACCAGCAGAGGCATCTTCAGCATTTTAGGGCCACCTTTGCTGCTCTCCTTCCCAGCAGCAGAGGAGACTAGAAACACTCCATTGCTATGAACTGCCAAGAAAACATTGGTACAGAACTCCCAGTGAATAAGTACCACTGAATTAAAAACAATCTGGTGAGGACATTCACATTTTGACCTGACTATCCCCTTGCCTGCTCCCCGGTGCATTATAAAAACCAGCCATCCATTTCCTTTCCTGTTTGGATTAGGGCGAAGGCAGCAAAAACATATTGACATCTGAAGCACATTAACCAATCATGTTTTTCTTCTCCCAGTCTATTGGTGGGACCTGAGAGAAGGGCTGTACATATAGCAAAGATTTTCACTGATCAATTCACATCAGTGCTGTCTCAGAGAATCCAATATGCATAATCCATAACAGTAGTGTTCTTTACGTCAGTTCTTTAAATGGTTTTATTGGTTTAAAACACTGTAACTTGTATAGCACCTTTTTGTATCTCAAAGTGCTCCACAGTATTATGTTGTTTTTTTGGAGGGGGGAGGCTGCCAAAATAGAGGTTTCATACCTCAGCTAGACTGCCATCTTCCTTCTCCCCCTCCACTTGTGCCATTTACATACTATCCCAAAATAGTAGACTGAAGGATGAATAACTGGGTCTCTTCTTCAGGCTAACAGAGGGAGGGGAACCTTCCTGCCTAGCAGGGAATTCTCTTTCAAGTTGGAACATGTGATCTTAACACATTTTGGAACAAGGATGGATATGGAGCCAACTTTTGAAGTACAGCTCTTTTGAGGGGCCAGGAATCATTTCTCAAATGAACATCCACAAGCCTCCTTATGTCTCTTATTAAAGCTTAAAGCCTGTAAATAAATTTTGTTCCATCACTGTGAGCCTTAATAAAAAGCACTAATTTGATTTGTTTATCACAGCTTTAATCACTGTATATTGCCCATAATTTCAGAGTCATATCCTTAGTAAGTACCTATTAAGTTTTATTGTTATTTTGTTTTAGTGGAGACTTTCCTCCCCACTACCCACCTGTCTTTCTGACTTGTATTTATATTTTGAGTTCTGGAGACATGACTCCTCTACTTGTTTTGCTTATCTAGACTTTTATTCATAAGAAATGTACCTATATAAATAAATAAGTATACTACTTTGTATCCTGGATTGTCTCATAGCATCTTTGTTTACCCAACTGGACTAATTGCTACAGGCAATATACAATTCCTAAAAATGTAACCCTCTGAAGCAACGTAAGTGCTTAATATTTTTAGTTTATGTAGGGTGTTCAGATACCAAACAAACTGCTACACCAGAACATGCCTTTAGTTAATGGATTCTCATATTTAAATTCTTCTCTGGTACATCTACTTCTTCATCCATATCTTTCCCATTCCTGCTTGTTCACTTCCAATGACATTGTTGGTGTGTGTCTTCCAGTCATTTCCAACTTATGCCATCACAGTGTGTTTTTAGAAGATTTGTTCAGAAGGGTTTATCCATTTGTTTAGAACCATTTACCTTTGTCTGAGGCTAAGTGTGTGTGACTTGTCCCAGCTCACCCAGTGGGTTTCCATGACTGGGAATTTGAACTCTGCTCTCAAATCACAATTCAGCCTCAAACCACTATGTAACACTGCCAACTATAATTTTATTCATCATAATTGGGCAAGAAAACTCTCCTTCACACTGCTGTCTCAAGGCACCACCTCATACTAGAGTCCTCTTCTGATCTCTGCAAAAGATATTCTCAAGTGTTTCTATCCCTAAAGATGACTTCAGATTTAACAAATTGAACTTTCTTTCAAAGGAAAAAAAAGGGGGAAAGACTGGGCATATTTTGAACATTTTTCTATTTCAGATGAATACATGCTGCAAAAAGGTCAATAACACACCAACATATTAAAATATGATTAAGTACTAAAATTGTGAAGATAACAAAAATTCAGTTCAGATCTGAAGGTCTGAATAAAATTACCTCATACTATAGTTTGCTTCAAAATATGTTGTATGGGTAGATTTAGGCACATTTAGCTTGCTCTCATCCTGAATTCTCCTGGCTTCTCAACAATGGCCATCTTCTGAAGACTGTGGTTACTAGTTGACTCCACTAATGGCAAAATCTCTCAACAAATGCTTTCTTGACCAGTTGCTGGAGTGTGGGGTTAAGCTATTTTACTATTCTATTAATATGTTCATTCACTGAAAATACAGCAAAGTAAGGAAAGTACACCAGCACTGAGGAATCAGGAGTTAAGATGGTACAGGAACCTAATGAAAAAAATGTGGTCCAAGAGTGGTGGGGTGGGGGGTAGGGAAGTTGTAAATTGTACTATTCCCTTCCACTACTAGGAGCTATTTTGCCGATACCTATAATTTTTGTCCTTTGCCCAGTGGGTAAAGAGGGTATGATGTTTTATAAAATGAAAACCGTGGTGAATGAACAGAAAAATATAAACAAAAAATGATGATTCCTTTTAAAATCATACATGTAGCTTGACTGTTCGTCATTTCTGACTTAGGCAATCCTAAAGCAAACATAACTTGTTTTCTTGGCAGGATTTGCACTGAAAGAGAGCAACTTTCCTAAGGTTACTCACTGGATTTGTATGATTGAATTGATCTGGGATTCGAACACTGGTCTCCACAGTCACAGTCCAACACTCATACTACATAATCTACATAAAAATAGGAATATATTTTGGGGTAACATATGGTAATGCTCAATTTTAATGCTCGGTTCTTAACAGCAAGGAATCTCATTGTTAAACAAGCTGCATTAAGATTCCTCAATGATTATCTTAACTGACATCTCAGACAGACTGTAGGCCTGTGACTCTGAAATCCTTACCATTTTCATCCTGTATGGTTTTAACATTCATTTTATGCTTTTGAGTTGGCCCTAAAACATACTGCTGCTTGTAGGATTTTATATTTTGTTTAATTGGATTGTTTAATCTGCATGTATGTGTACCTTTAAGTCACCTTATAGCAAATCTATACGTAGAGTTTTCTTAGGCAAGTAATACTCAGAGGTGGTTTTGTCATTTCATTTCTCTGAAATATAGCCTACAGTTGAAATAAAGGATGTTGTGTCATACCTTTCTCCTAGAGAAGGCAATATACAAACATCAAAAAGTAATACCAGCATATTTATTAGTCCTTGGGAGGAGGGGGCACTAGCTCTTTGTATGTGACGAGAAGAAAATCCAATGAACAAAGAAAAGAACGATTTTCACCTTATCAGAGTCAGCTTTATTCACCTGATGATCTGACATTCTTAGCTGTAACAAGGTGTCGGGATTTGCACAGACTCCAGGTGTGATGAATCACATTAAGTACAAAAATAAAAAAGCTTCAGCAATTCTTCCACAACCTAAAAAGCAAAAACAATTTAGATAAAATTATTTCCCGATACACAATTGCTACCATAGATTTAGCACCCAAACAGGAAAACATGGGTTAATAACTCAAGAGGCAGACAAACGTTTGACAGATATTACCGGCATTAGCAAATAGGACTTCAGTAATCTAATGACTGTGATAGGTCGTCTTAACAACTTTCAACATGTTTGTCTTTTTCCTATCCCAGAGGGCTTGCCATCCTTTCACTCAGGTCCATTAATATCTCAAACCAAGAGAAACACTGCAGTTGACATTGGGACTCACCATTCTGTCAACTACTAAATCCTCTGCCTTCTAGTCCAAAATCCCAACTTTTGGTGAAAATGCTAAACATTCTTTCAAAGCTGTGCTTGAAAATCAACCCCAGTCTTTGGAAACAAGTGTGAGGGACAAGAATGGTAGTACCCTTCTCGTATAATAACTGATATTGAGCAACAAAACCTATATATACTATGAGAATTACTTCCCACCATTTCTTCTCTTCTTTGAATAGCTAAGCAGCATTGCATTAAGGTTTGGGAATATTTGATTTTACCAGCAGGTACAATTAAAACTATCAACTACTTTGATGAAGTCAGAACTCCTGATTTGATAAAGAACTAGCAATTTTGTTCTAAAATGCTAATGATCTGAAGTGGTGGGTTGAAAGAAGTTCAGAACTTCGTGAACTGTAAACTACAAATAAAAAGCAAAACATAATATGAAGCTTCATTTTTACATGCTTGAGATGTCAGTCTTTCTCTTATAATTCCAAGGGAAGAATGTCACTCATTACTCATTTTAATGCAGTATTTCAGTGAGAAACCTTTTTACAGAAGGAATTACTTCTTAGAAAACATATTCAGGATTGCTTATGAAAGCATTGAAAGCTTTACCACCTCATTAAATGTAAGAACTCCCAGCTATTGGAGAAACAGTTGCGATCTTGAGAGAATTATGTACGTTAATTACATGTCATATTTGCTAAACATAATCCTAATCAACAGAGGACAACAGTAACATTTTCAAGATTCAAAATGTTTCAGAAAATCCGCATTACAAGATTCAACCTGAATATCTTACCTGAAACAGGTCTTGGTTTATTGTCACACATAGATTCCAACCCAAAGCAGTAAGAAGAGTACGCCAAAGCCCATAAAGAGTGAAGCCACCAGAGAGATGAGTAGTTCCTTGTAAATATCCCGAGTATATTTAGTAGAGGTCACTTCATAACTGACATATGAATTAAAGCAATAACCAGACAAGGAAAACTGAAGAAAATCCAGGCACTCCACACTAAAAAACAGATCCACCTCCACAAGGCCAAAACCTTACATACTAATGCTCTTTCCTTAGCACAGTGGTTCTCAACCTTCCTAATGCCGCGACCCCTTAATACAGTTCATGTTGTGGTGACCCCCAAGCATAAAATTATTTTTGTTGCTACTTCATAACTGTGATTTTGCTCTATTATGAATAAATATCTGATATGCGGGATGTATTTTCATTCACGGGACCAAATTTGGCACTAATACCCGATACATCCAAATTTGAATTCTGGTGGGGTTGCGGGGGATTGATTTTGTCATATAGGAGTTGTAGTTGCTGGGATTTATAGTTTGCCTACCCTCTCACAACCCTCTCACAACAGAAGCGACTTGTTGCTCCCAACACGACAAAAAAAAAATAGTTTACCTACAATCAAAGAGCATTGTGAACTCCACCAATGATAGAATTGAACCAAACTTGTCACACAGAACTCATATGACCAACAGAAAATACTGGAAGGGTTTGGTGGGCATCGACCTTGAGTTTGGGAGATGTAGTTCATCTATATCCAGAGAATGGGAGTATTTATAAAAACAAAAGGAAATACTATCTATTTCTAATAAATAGTGTCATGAATTACCTAAGCTGCCTCTGCTGCTCCTCCTGGTGCTGCTGGGCTGCTCTCAGTTCCACATCATGTGGGCACTTTTCATTCTGACTTGAAGCCTGCCTTGCTCTCTCGCCATCCAGTGAGGGTGCGGGACAGGTGAGGGGGGCTCAGCGCGAGGCCTCTCGCGGAGGCCCCCTCGCCTGCCCCGCACCCTCGCCTTGGGGCAAGAGCCAACGAGACCCCTCTGAAATGGCCAGGTGACCCCCAGGTTGAGAACCGCTGCCTTAGCAGCTTTTGAAATGCAGAAATTAAAAAAAACTTTGCATAAATCAAATTATCAGGAATATATTTACTTGTAGACAAAGTTGGATACATTAAGTAACAGTATCACTAGAAGTTTCTCCTGGACAGACATCTGAAAAAAAAATCCTGTTTAGTCTTTGAAATTCAAATTTCAGGCTCTTATACTTTGAACTCCAAATGTCTGTTAACTTCTTAGTTCAAACTTTCCACTTGGTTTCAACAGAGTGCTGGCCAGTCTTTCAGAATCAGCTGAATTTCTACTGTCAATGGCCTTTCCAAGTGCAATGACACTTCAATTAGTTTTCGTTTAGCAAGGGGAAAAATAGTGAGTTTGAAATTTATCTTAATTCTATATTTAACTTTACGTTAATGGCTTTTTTTGACAACTGAGTACCTTGACAAAACAATACATTATTCAAAACAGATGGCCTCAAGGTAGAGAACAGCAAGTGTAATGGCTAAATTTCTTTTGGAGAATGTCAGTAGATGGAGTTGAGAGTTGCCATCCAACATTAGAGAGGCCCTTAAACACTTCTGCATGAAAACCTTTTTGGGTAAGTGAAACTGAGTTGTACTCTAGGTGTGATATCATCCTTGCTGTAGATTTAACGCCTCACATATGCTGAAGGGCAGCCTAAAACTGTCCATTTGGTTTTTCAAGAATGATATACATATGATAGCCCCCACTTAAAGAAACAAAAATATGGTTGCCCTCACAGGGATTGGCAGTATTGCCCTTACATTCCTGCAGGCAAATAAAACACATCTTGGCCCGTTTGACAGTTTCTACAGAAAGAGGATACACGAAGAACCAGGCCGTGAAGAACATGCCGATGGCCAAGAGCACCACAGTGAGGTGTGGAAAGACAGCCGGGTTCACCGGACTGGTATACCTGCTCATCGTCTCAAGCTCCTGAATTGAGAGAGAAGACAGTGGACAGAAGCATTTCCTTATCTAGTTTTATAACCTGCAATTCTCTCATCATGGGACCAAAGGCAGCTCACAATATGCATATATTAAAACGATGTACCGTTAGGTGCCATATAAAACACTACTAATTACAACAGTTTAAATTAGTACAACGAAAACATGTCCCAGCACTCTCTTTGCTAAGGGGAGAAATGCACCAACAAATATTCCTTCAGAATCTCCTTTTCCTTTTTTTTCAATGAGGGCACTGAAGAGAAGGGATGTTTTGAAATGATTAAGTGATCTTTCACTGTGCTTTTTTTGTGGCATTCTCTTCCTAGAATATTTTGTTGTATTGAATATACACAAGTACAGGCAAACTTGGGCCCTCCGGGTGTTTTGGACTTCAACTCCCACCATTCCTAACAGCCTCAGGCTTAAGCGGCTGAGAGGAAAAAGGAAAGGGCCTGAGGCTGTTAGGAATGATGGGAGTTGAAGTCCAAAACACCCGGAGGGCCCAAGTTTGCCCGTACCTGATTTAACATTGCAAGTGTATCTATCTACATTGTATAATTGATGCGGTTTGATACCACTTTAACCAATGTGGCTCACAGGAGCCGAGAGCAATCCTAGACCCCTTCCTTCCAGGCGCCTCACCATGCTGCTCCGACGCCGCTTCGCTCAGCTTGGACCCCGTCAGCCGCACCTCTGCTGCCCCGCTTCCCTCCCAAGCGACGGAAGGAAGGAAGGAAGGAAGGAAGGACACGTCTCTTTCCTCTGACGCGTTCTTTGCGCCGCCGGAAACCGCCCGGCAACTTCCGGCCCTGTCAAAGAAAAATCCCCTCCCACTTTTCCTCTCGCGGTCTCCTTTCTCGAGGGGGCTGACGGGAGTGGTAGTCCGTTCGGGAGTCTTGTGAACGCGGACGGTCGGAACACGAACTACATTTCCCGGCGTGCTCGGAATCTCGGGACGCGAGATTTGGAAGGCGCCAAAGTTCGGTCAAAGGGGGAGAGTGTGCAGCGCGGCAGGAGAGGCTGAAGAAGGAGGAGAAAGAGAGGAGCCGGTCGGTAGGCAAGGGATTCCTCCTCAGAGATTAGCGCGTGGCAAGTAAGCCTTTGGCGCGCGTGCGCGGAGGAGAAGGCCCGCGAGGGAGGGAGGGAGGGAGGGCGCTCGCCTTAGGCCTGTCCTCAAACGCCCTTAATAGTACCAGTAATGTTAATAATAAGGTCATTAATTACTTTTTTAGTTAACGTATTGCTGCTGGCTTGAGTTTCCACCTTGAAGATGTGCCCAAATAAAGGTGCGGCTACACTCGAGGATGAATGCAGTTTGGCTCCACTTTAACTATGGATTCCTGGAAGTTATAGTTTGGGGAAAACAGCAAGACGAGGAGCAAGCTAAAGGCCTTGTAAAACTACAACTCCCATGTACCTATATAGCATTGGAACATGGCAGTTAAAGTAGTCTACTATATTTATATATTCTAGTCAGTTGTTTTCAATATACCAAATATATTCTTTAATTGCTAAATAAGCGAACAAATACAACTCATATCTGGTGTTCTCTAGAGCAGGCATGGGCAAAATTGGGCCCTCTGGGTGTTTTGGACTTCAACTCCCACCATTCCTAACAGCCTGAGACTGTTAGGAATGGTGGGAGTTGGAAGTCCAAAACACCTGGCGGCTCAAGTTGTCCCATGCCTGCTCTACATGGATAGACATCATCATCATTATTATTATTATTAACTTTATTTGTACCCCACTAGCATCTCCCGAAGGACTCAATGCAGCTTACAAAGGCCAAGGCCTCAAAACACAACATAACAATACAAAACCTAAAGCAAATTAAAAACAGTTAAAGCAATATTAAACAACGAGCAATAAACAATACACCAAGACACAATAAAACTGGGCCGGCCAGAGTAATGGGTACAGATTAAAAGTGCTGATGTGACAGGTGATATGTAAGGATTATAGGGTAAGTGCAGTGTGCCAGCAATCTTAATTTCTAATAAAGTGCTTCTGGGACTTGTTATTGGAGTTTTCCTATTCTGGAAAGGCACATCGGAACAGCCAGGTCTTCAAGTTCTTTCTAAAGACTGCCAACGTAGGGGCAGTCTTTAGACATAAAGTGTTTTTCTCACTTTACCAAACTATAATTTACTTAGTAGCGAAATTTTAGTTATTTTTCCTTCAGGTCCTTGAAATATCACTTAACCAAAGTGCACACAATTAATTGATCAAATTGAGCATATTTCATTAACTCATAAAGTGCATGGATACATTGAGGAGCACACACACAAGTCATCTCCAAACCATACAGCTGTTCTGGATGAGGACAGATTCTGTAATCCATCACAGAGAATACTAAACTGGGGGTGGCTGCTGTACCAGTTTTTTCTAACATTTAATAAGTATGTGAAAACTCATTTGAAAGATAGGTGTTCCATTCTTAACGTTGGCTAGAATTTCCCCCAAAATTCTCACTTTTATTTTGGGACCTGCTATAAAGGGAAAGGGCAGGAATGTAAATTATCTTTTGAAATGGGCAGAAATACAAATAAAGCAGCTATATGTCCAAGCTACCTATCTTTTCCCTTTGGAAGAAATCTCCTAACTATTGAAAACTATTTTATAAATCCATATCCTACCAATAGCTACCTTTCTCGTGTTCTCTAGATGGACAGCCATAAGTTTTTTCTCACTTTACCAACCTATATTTTTCTTAGTAGAGAAATGTTATTTTTATTAATCATTTTATTATCCTTCAGCACCTCAGATATCACTTAATCAAATTATACACAAGTAGTTGACCGAATTCAAAAGATTTCATTAACTACTGATAACACTAGCCAACACACATTATGTTGCCTCAGATGTTAAACCTGTTTCTGAGTATATTTGACCTGCCAATTCCAAAAATGGCATCAGTTCTTCCCAATCAGCTCTAGTTTTTGAGAGACAGAACATACGTCATATGCCACTTGTCTTCTGCTTGTCTATAGAAAATTATGAAAAGCTCTAATTTAAGAAATTAGAGCTTATGCAGTCTATCTAATGCAATTTTCTGAATCAGCCCCCCAAATAACCCAGGAACAAGCCTAAAAACCAAGACCGCAAGAATTATTATGTATTTATTGGTTGGACTGTGTCATGTTTGGGAAACAGCAAAAAGAGTATAGCCCAATTTTTTTAGAGAAGAACTTGCTCACTTAAACTTTCAGTTCATGCCAGTGTTTTTTCTTTCTAGGTTTCTCCTGTGTTTCTCACTCCAGTCAGATTTATCCTCCCGTTTTCTACAATGGGAATCCATGGTTTGGCCAAATTGATTGCGGATATTGCTCCTGCTGCCATCCGAGAGAATGACATTAAGAGTTATTTTGGTCGGAAGGTTGCCATTGATGCTTCTATGAGCATTTATCAGTTCCTGATTGCTGTACGCCAAGGGGCTGATATGCTGCAGAACGAAGAAGGTGAGACCACAAGCCACCTGATGGGTATGTTCTACCGCACTATCCGCATGGTGGAAAACGGCCTCAAGCCTGTCTATGTCTTTGATGGCAAGCCCCCACAGTTAAAGTCTGGTGAATTGGCTAAGCGCACTGAACGCAGAACTGAAGCAGAGAAGCAGCTTCAAGAAGCCAAAGAGGCAGGCGAGGAGGAAAATGTTGAAAAATTCAGCAAAAGGCTAGTTAAAGTCACCAAGCAGCACAATGAGGAGTGCAAGAAGCTGCTGACCTTGATGGGCATCCCTTATGTGGATGCACCTGGTGAGGCTGAAGCTAGCTGTGCTGCCCTGGTGAAAGCTAATAAGGTGTATGCCGCTGCAACTGAAGATATGGACTGCTTGACCTTTGGCAGCCCTGTGCTAATGCGACATCTTACAGCCAGTGAGGCAAAAAAACTGCCCATTCAGGAATTCCACCTGAGCCGTATTCTCCAGGATCTGAACCTGACTCAGGAGGAGTTTGTGGACCTTTGCATATTGCTGGGTTGTGACTACTGTGAGAGCATCCGTGGCATTGGACCCAAGCGTGCTGTGGAGCTCATCAAGCAGCATAAGAGCATAGAAAAGATCATTCAGCAGATAGATACCAAGAAGTACTCCCTGCCTGAGAACTGGCTGCACAAGGAGGCACAACAGCTCTTCTTGGAGCCAGAAGTTATAGATGCAGAAGCTGTGGAGCTGAAATGGAGCGAGCCAAATGAGGAAGAGCTTGTTAATTTCATGTGTGGGGAGAAGCAGTTTAACGAGGAGAGAATCCGTAATGGAGTCAAGAGACTGAACAAGAGCCGCCAGGGCAGCACTCAGGGCCGACTCGACGACTTCTTCAAGATTACAGGTTCCATCACTTCAGCCAAGCGCAAAGAGCCAGAGCTCAAGGGATCTGCCAAGAAGAAAGCAAAGGGCAGTGGCTCTGCAACATCAAAGTTTAAGAGAGGGAAATAAACATTATTTAAAAAACTATCATCCCACTTTCACTCCAGATTCTTCTCGATCCGTTGTATAGTAACTGACCAACAGAAGTGCAACGTATTATAGTTCTGCAATACTGAAAAGGTGTGCAGCTATTACTAGACTTCCAGTTCAACCTAGATTCGTGCATGGAGAAGATTGGTTTGACAGGCAAAATGTTTGACGCTGCTAATTATTGGACACAGATCTTGCCAAGATAACTGGATATTGCTGGTAACAAACCTAGAGAGTGTTGGTCCTGACTTTGAGTGCTGTGAACTATCAGCCCTAAAAACTAGGAGACATAGTCTTTCTTTATTGGCATGATATGCTGACATGGTTTTTGCTTTGATTTGTAGATTTCAATAAATATTATCACTTTTGCTACTTCTTTGTAATTTGTTCATTGATTTTTTTGAGGCAGAGTACAGTGTTATTAGAAAATACCTGCAGCATAGCCTTAAGTGCACAAAAGGTGGGCAGAAAAATTAGAACTTCTATCAAAGATATACAATTACTTGTCAAATTTCTGCAAAAGAAATAGGTACACCTCACTGGCCTTCTTTTCTCATTGGTCCTGATTATACAATCTGTATTTGCCACCTAAAAGAAAAGAGCCTATTATGTGCACTCACCAATGTGTGAGTAACTGAAGCATTTATTTATTCCATGAGGATATTTTAAAAATTGTGAATGGTAAAATGTGAACATAAATTGGAGCAATAAGAAATATTAGAAAATAGTTTTTAATACTATGAAGCTTCTTTCTTGCTCTGATGTAATTTATTTACCACGAGCATTCACTGGCGTAAGGGGATTGTGACAGGGACCCTGGTTTTGCCTCTCGCAAGAAAGATTGCTCATGAGAGGAAGGCCATTCAGCTGCTTCCCAAGCAATGGGGATGGACCCTTGATCACAGTGGCTATTTCCCAGTAAATGGGGACTGGGCAAGAATGCATAGCCACATAACCATTGTGACGCATAACTGATAGGAATCAAACCGATATTTTTTTTAAAAAAAATGACTCAAGATAGTGTTTGGGAGATGATCATTTAATTCCCTTATATTCAATGCAGCATTGCAAATGAATCAAGTGCTTGTGGCAGCATTGTATCAAGTGTTTGTATTCTGAAAGCTGCTCTTACTCTATAATTACATGAAGCCCTAAGTCAAGGGTCCCTAAGTAAGGGCAGCAAGCTGGATGTGCCCCTTCAAGGTCGTTTACCTGACCCCCATCCTAAACTTCAGACATAGGGTCGCCTTAGGTCTGAAACCACTTCAAGGCACACAACAACAACTAATCCTAATTAACTTCACTATCTCATAAGCCAAAAGCAGGCCCACACTTCCCATTGAATTACTGGTACATTTATGTTTGTTAGACTTGTTTATTTTAAATATTGTGGGGTGTTTTTTTTCTTTTTTTCTTTTTTTTTTTGCACTACAAACAAGATATGTGCAGTGTGCATAGGAACTCGTTGGTGGTTTTTTGTTTTTGTTTTTTCAAACTATAGCCATCCCCTGTCCCCCCAACAGTCTGAGGGATCATGAACCAGCCTTTGACTTAAAATGTTTGAGGAACCTTGATCTAAGCAAGTATAAATCCCTAAGGTTTTTGTTGGTCTCTTGTCTTGAATAGAAGCTGAAGGGGGAGTGGGGGAGTAAGAAACTCAGAATCCCCGCTCTGCAGCTTGGGGTTATTGTGAGTGTGTTGTCCCCGTCCCCCCCAATGCCTTTAAGCATTTCTGTTCAAACAGATAATATAAGATTCCTGCTACATTATTGACAATATGAACAAAGTAAATAATAATAAACATAGACTATTTAAATGAACGAACAATAACAAGCAAAGTACATCAAAATTAAAACAATCATTAAGTATAACAGTTGATTTGGCAGGCAAGTACTATTGTGAGCAAAATAATGCTGGTACTATGGTATAGAAAACACTTGAAACACAGGAAGTTTCCTTGAGCAAGTATGACAGCAAGACTTTCTGAATATTTTAGTCAAGTTCTGATAGCAATATGGCTCACAACCTGTGCATTCTTTTAACAGCACAATCATTAAATACATAGGAAAAATATTTTTGCTTCTTGTTACAGTTCTTCAGGGTTAAACAACCAAAAGCGTAATGAATGCACAAGCATTTATATTTAGTGGAAATTGTGAATGTGGTATGTTTTATTTTCTGATTTCACATGAGTCACATGTAAATGTCAATGTTTTTAAAACTTGCTGACAAGTTCTTCTGTGCATACATATTAACTATACATCTATCCAAGGAAATTTTGACACTAGTCTCTCCAGTTCATTTTATTACATTTGGCTTAGCTGCCATTTGACTCACTGTAAACCATTAAGAAACCTATGAATGCCCATGTATACTCTAGCATGATCTTGTATACATAACAGGATTCTGGCCAGAGTATGTTGTAACAGTTTATTATAAATAGAAACATCATTCATAAAATAACACAAGCATTTTAGTAAGAATTAAGATTGTAGTGTTAAAGGCCTTGTTCTCTGTAAAGCCAGCACCTCTCACTTATGCAGGTAGGCATCCAGCCAAAGTTCTCCAGAATCCTTCAAGGTGCTGCAGTGAACAGGAAAAAGGAGAGGAAATTAAATACATACTGTGATAAAGTTAAGGGTCATCTTATTAATCTTTCAAAATTAAATTACAAGAGTGGGAATCTAGATGCATGGAAACAGGATCCAACAGGTAAATTGGATGGGAAATGTGCAGACACAAGGCTTTCCCACCCACCCTCAAGCCCCTGATGTTTCCATTCTTAAGGACTGCATTCCAATAGTGAATATGGCTAAAATGGTTGAAGTGGTTTTTTTTTTTTACCAAGTATGTACCTTCATATCTCCTGTTGACTTAATAGCAATCTTGTGAATGTCATAGTGTTTCTGTAGGCAACGAATATTCAGAGGTGGTTTTGCTAGTTCCTTTCTCTGAAACATAGCCTACAGCACCTGGCACTCATTGGTAGTTTCCCATCCAAATACTAATATTAACCCTGCTGAGCTTTTGAGATCAAATGGAATCCGGTGCCTTTGGAATACGTAGTGCAAGGTGGTCTATAAACTTTTAATAGCCCACACAGCAATGAACTTTGAATGCAAATTTGAGGCATGGATCTGAGCTTTGCAGACAAACCCAGTAATCACACAACACTGTTACAGCGCTATTCTATTTAAACTGTCAGGGCAATATCTTGTGAAATCCTGGAATTTGCCATTTAGGGCTGAGCAATCAGGATTCTTGCCTACAGTGTTTTTGGGTTTCACTAAACTACAAACCCCAAAATTCCATGGGATGCAACCATGGAAAATAATAATAATAATCTTTATTTATACCCCGTCAGCATCTCCCCGAGGGGCACTTGGGGCGGCTAACGAGATCAAGCCCAAAAACACAATACAGCAAAATAAAATGCAAACAACAAAAAACAACAAAAATACATCACAATAAAATACATACAATAGCAAAATAGAGTAAACAATGAAAAATAACATAATATATAATTAATATAGGACAATAGTCCTATAACACTATAATAGTGCAGTGTGTTAAATTAATCACCATTGCACAGGAGCCTACCACTTAGTAGATGGAAAGATAATCAAACTGTTTTTGTATGCTTGGTAGGAAAATATCCAAATTGCTAAGATCTCTAGTTTAGCCCCATCCACCAGATCTCATTTGGAACATAGTACTCAAAGCAGAATTTCAATCCTGTGCTAAAAAATGTTCCTCGACCCTGTCATATGATGGTGTTGAACCAATGTGGCAATTTGAATATTTAAATAGAGATATCATGGTTTAAATATTTTTTTGGTGATGGAAGCCCACTTGCTGATCTCGGGTGAGACACACTCTCAGACTCAAAAGCAGGCAGTGGAAAAGCAGTGTTTTCCAACCTTTGGTCCTCCAAGGTGTTTTGGATTTCAGCTCCCACAATTTCCAACACCTGGAAGATCAAAGGTTCAGAACCACTGCTCAAAACAAATTTTGCTTAAAAAAAACCTGTGATAGGTTTGCCATAAGTCAGAAATGACATTAAGGCCAAAACAACAAACTTCTTCAACCATGCCTACTGTGTGTGTGTATATATATTCACTGTTATGTCAAAACAGATACATACTGTAAGATATCTGCAAAGGCTGTCAGCAGAGGTTTGCACTTGTATTCAATACCATATTTATGACACAAAGATTTCACTAGAGGGGCTGCCTTCCAGAAGTTGTGTCGTGGCATTCTGGGGAAAAGGCTAAAAAGAAAAATAGAAGAAAATATTTCAGGTGGCCTTTTCAGGAACTGCTATTTGTAGATATTTCCAATAGATAGTGTACAAGCTCCAAACAAGTCCTAATCAGGATACTTACCATACTATGAGCATTGCACAGAATTTTCCTTAGAAAATAAAGATTCTCACTGCATTTAGAGGGAGATGGGGATATGCTGAACACTTTGCAAAGGTCAATACTTACTGATGTTCAATCTGGAAATTCAAGTGCCCAGTAAACCAGTCATTGAAGTGGGACTGGTGAACATTACAAGTGGCCTGGAGCTGAAATGAAAAGTAAGTAGAGGTTTCAAAAAAAGTAATAGTTTAATTTACAAACTGACAACTATGTTCATGCCAGAGCAGCCCCGAAAACCTTTTTCTTGTGCTAGTTCTGTAGGAATTTGGTGTTTTAAGTCAAAAAATTATCTCAGATTTGCTCTCATTGATACATCAAAAATAGGCTTATTAAATACAATAGAACAATATATTCATCTCTAGTATTCTATTCTTTTAGTTCCTTAAAAACTATAGATATGTCTCCTTTCTTTGGCAATCCAAAATCCTCAGCTCAAAATCCTCTGTCAACTTCAAACCCTGTCAGTGCATATTTAAATTCCTGTCTTCCAATGTGGCCCAGGGAGGCTAGAAGGCTGGACATCCCCGAAGTTGACTGTCCCCTTGTTGCCTCTAGTCCCCATCATTTTTTAGCTCAGGTGTGGCCACTACGTTTTCACTGTCACTTTAGAGCTATGTCAGAATAGTCTCAGAAGTGTTCAGCTGAGCTGAAATTACATTTTGTTTGGCCAAAACCTATTCTGGCATGTTAATTGACTACTCCCAATCACGGTCTTTAAGCCTTACCTGTGTAGAGACCCAGTCCAAGTTCTTATCATAATCAATATCCATGGGAATGTGGCTCATTTGTGATACCCAGACAAACCAAGAACTTTCCATTATCCTGCCAAATAGAACAAGCAGCTATTTACCATACAATTGTAATCATGCTTATTAAATGTACAATTATGTAACACTAGATTGCCATAAGGAGAGGGGAGTGTCAGTAGGGGAATTATTTAGCCCAAACTTCAAAAGAGCTATCCAAGATGTTCAAGCTTGTCTCCCATATAGCTTCATTGCTTTATATAGTTATTTTAAAGTTCAAGCTCGACTGATATGGAAGCAAACCAGTTGCCACCATCAGGATTGGAGACTGGGCTAAAGTTGAGGGTTCTGAGAACGATCTTTCCTGCAAGCCAATGTTGTGAGATCTCTGAAGCTATAGACACCTAATGGAGAGGGCAAGTGTTCCTGTAGAATAGGTGGGCAGCTGTGGAAAACCAGGTGGGTGCACTAGCTGGCCTCTTTTTCTTCATTGCCCCAAATTTTTCACAATGTTTGGGGCCTTTCTGTACCATTTCAGTTCCAAGACAGTCCTTTTAAAAATAGGAAGTGATCTGAAAAAGCTTTTTCTGAGTCTAAATTGGATTTTAATTAGAAAAAATATTTTTGCAAAGCCTTTTATGACCACCTAGAGGTCACAAAATGGGAAATGAGTGCTTCAGGCCACACTTTGCCTACTCCTGCTGTAAGACACACACACACACATATATATACAGAGAGAGAGAGAGAGAGTTATATTTTTAAAACCTCTGATTTAACATCAGAAACATTTGTACTTATTGCTTTTCTTTTGGTATAATGTATGATGATGTTACTTGGAAACCACTCTGAGTCCCCTCGGGGAGATAGAGTGGTATATAAATAAAGTTTTGTTGTTGTTGTTTTCATCATAGAAAAGGAATCATGACCAAACTTGATTGGTGGAATAAAACAGAGAAATAAGGATTTGGATTTGGATGTGGAAATAACATTTGATATGATTGCTGGAACCCATACTGTGTACAATTCTAAACGCTGCAAGGGGTAACCTTCTAACAGGCATTATTTATACAAACCGCTGAGGAACTCTAATGAAAGAATGAGAGCGAAGAGCACAGGAACTGAAGACTGAGGTGAAACCGTATAGCTCAAGACAGTTAAGCCAGATTATGTCCATTTCCTATTGAAACCACTGGATTAAGTTACTACTTATGTTGAAGTCCAGCCCAGACAGTCATGACTAGTGTTAGTTGAACAGTGTGTTGTATAATACCTGAACAAGAAGTAGTATAGTAGAAAGCTCTTTGGTCCTAGTATATACCCTTGGACAAGGAACAACCGGATAAAACAGGAGAGTTGCCAAGCCAGATCCTAGGAAAGGGAAAATGAAGAGACTGTCAGAACCTTCTGGGAGGAACACATTGCATTGTCCTGCGAATTTCTCATCTTTTACCCAAGGGGTGAAGTAGAAATGTCATTTCCAACAGACCTCACAACCTCTGAGGATGCCTGCCATAGATGTGAGTGAAACATCAGGAGAGAATGCTTCTGGAACATGGCCATACAGCCCAGAAAACTCACAGCAACTCAGTGATTTTGGCCATGAAAACCTTCGACAACACAGTGTTGTAATGACTTCCAGTTAGATCCTATTAGGCATGCACAGAATCTTGTTAAATCTTACTAACTGTACTTGACCCCCCCAACCCTCCCCCCCCCCCAATCAAATTTGCTCCAATAATGTGAGGTTATTTCTACATCTGCTATTTCTTATGTGACCTGTGAAGTTGGACCCTTTGCCCCCCCCCACCCAAATAAAGTCAGAGTATAACTTTTGTAACTGTGGCACAACACCCAAAACATTTCCATGCTAGAGTGGGAATAAGAACTCCTGCTGCTTTGTCAGCAAGCCTAAAAGTGCAAGACTTACCAGCCACAATTTCTTCTTGTAGACAACATAGAACGTGTGAAAATGGAAGAAGGCTGGAAACAACAATGGTGGCATAGCTGACAAAAGAACAACAGAAGGAGAGTTTTTTAAAATCCTGATCCTCAAACTATAACAGGTGTAAATAAAAATAAAGCAATACATAGAGGAAATCAGTAGCAGAAGTTAGTAAAAAGTATAATTAATTATAATTGTATTTTTATAGAAGCCATAGGAGAGAACTATAATCAATTGGGATGGATTCTGCAGCACTGTCAAAATCCTGTCTGGCTCTTTCCAATTGCTCTCTCATGCTTAAAGCACAGACTCTTGTTGCTTTTGGGTACTATTGTACTCTTCTTCTTTGGTGAAAAGATAGACAAGTGAAGGCCCAGGGAGGACACAGGAAGAATCACAAGAATGAGAAAACCTCAAATTAATCAATATTTTAAAGAACACATTTCAATTTTGTCCATTGAAAAAGCAGATTATCACTGATAATACACTACTGAGGAGTTCAACATTTGAGAATGCATTATGAGTTGTTGTTTTTTCTGTCCAAATAATTTTGTTTATTACTTCTTCAATGGCAAAAGCCTTGAATGCAGCAGTTTCTAGTTTTCTCTTAGGGCCCTTCCACACAGCCCTATATCCCAGAATATCTGCTTTCAACTGGATTATCTGGATCCACACTACCATATATTCTAGTTCAAAGCAGATAAATGTGGGTTTTTATTCAGGCAGAAAATCCCACATCTGCTTTGAACTGGGTTATCTGAGGACTCTTCCACACAGCCCTATATCTCAGAATATCAAGGCAGAAAATCCCACATTATCTGAGTGTGGACTCAGATAACCAGTTCAAAGCAGATATTGTGGGATTTTCTGCCTTGATATTCTGGGATATAGGGCTGTGTGGAAGAGCCCACAGAAACATAGAGTTGGAAAAGACTCTAAAGGCCATCCACTCCAACTTCCTGCCATGCAGGAACACACAATGAAAGTATCCCTGACAGATGGCAATCCAGCCTAGCATAGGCTATATTCACAATTTTGCTTGTATAACATTAAAGCTTTTATATTTATTTTGATATTTTAAATAAATATAAAATAAATGTTCATAAATATAAATGTTCATAAATATGCCAAATAAATAAATGTTCATAAATATGCCAAATTTAAAAATATATAAACAATTATATATTCTATGATAGGAATGAAACCTTTTTATGTAACTTAAGCAGTGACGGAGTTCTGCTCACCTGCCTGGTTTAGGGCCCTCCCACACAGCCATATAATCCAGAATATCTGCTTTCAACTGGATTATCTGGATCCACACTACCATATATTCTAGTTCAAAGCAGATAAATGTGGGATTTTATTCAACTGTGTAGAAGGGAGCTTAGGCTGCTGCTTCTTTAGCTGTTATACTCTCACTTATTTCTGATCAATGCTGCAGCCAGTTGGGATTTGCCAGAATAATCCACTGATTTTCACTGTCTTTCAGGAAGCTGGAAATACTCACTGATAAAGAAGTACCTATGTTGATAGTTGTAAGGCATGTACTTTATCTTCTTCATCCCAAGCTGTGAAAGGAAAGTAAGTCATTTTCTCATAAGAATTTAAAGATAAATTTATCTCATCCTGAAATGAAACCACACCAAGGAAAGCTTTTGCAATACAGCAAAGATCTGGCGATTTGCACAGGCTTTCCTGGGTCATAGTTAAGTGCCTTTCTAATAAATACTTTCATCCTATTATTTTCAAAGATTAAGCAGTGATAACATCTGCTTCATCTTGCATCACCCAGCTCTTCTTGGAGCCTTCAACAAGATGGAAGAGAAATAATCTTCCAGTACAAGCGCACAATTGACTCAGTTTTTCTCACTCAATACAACGCACCCTATGTCTCAGAAGATCTGCGAGCCAACTCCTTTGTGGCAGGCACTTAAAGACACTACTCATTTGTCTACACCCATGCCTGAAAAGAAATCTAAGATGGCAGTAAAGCCTCCTGAAGATAAAGAGTACCACAACAAAATGAGATACAAATGCTGCTGAGTAAAGTGTTGGAGATTAAGCTGCATGTTCTCTCAAAAGCCTTGTATTTGTTGTACAGGAAAAGTGCATATACAATAGCATGCTCTCTTACATCTTGGTGAATTTAGGGTATGACTTGATGTGGGAGTTAGTGCTATAAGGCATGAAATTCTGGATCAGAATACTCCATTGTTAACCAGAACGATTGGCACATCTACTTTTTGCTGTTGTCCCCTTACTGCTGATGTGCCCTGCTCGGAAACACTACCTTCGACCACTGTTTGGCACGAACTCGGTGGAGGCTCACACACTATTATGGTGCACCTAAGACTATAATGACTCAATTGCCCAAAGAAGATACTCGAGAAAGGTCATTTTAAAAAGGAAAACAAACATAAAGCTAGGGTTGATATGATGAGCATGATACTCACTTCCACAGAAAGGGACTTCCCCAAACTAAACAAGAAAGGGTGGACATCAGTATCTGGATCTTTGGAGAAGCAATTGGGTTTTGCATGATGTTGGGAGTGCAGGAGGGTCCACCATTTGGCTGATGCCCCCTGTTGAAGAAAGACAAGAGATGTTGTTCCAAAGCAGTGTTGGTGATTTTTTTTTCATGGTGCAGATTTAAAGGCATTCATCTCTGAATTGGAACTTTAGTCTTGTTCAGGAGAGCTGAAAAGGTGCACCTTTGTTTCGGTTCATAAGATGTTTAGGGCAGGAATGGGACACATGAGGCCCACAGTCTTGGCCCAGGGCTTTCTGGGCCCACAATGGAGGGGATGGCCTCTACTTTTGTTTTTTTCTCTGTCAAAAGAGGGCAGGGAGGCAGCCTGGCCAGGAGAGAGCACAATGGGTAGGCCTATCAGATATTTCTATCTCTCACATAAGTATATCTGGTGGGAACACAAGAGCAGGATTTTGTGGCAGTTACGCCTAGGATGCATCTACACTGTAGAATTAATGCAGTTTGGCACCACTTTAACTGCCATCACACAGTGCTATGGGATCATAGGAGCTACAGTTTTACAGGAAGCAGTTGGGTTTTGCATGATGTTGGGAGTTCAGGATGTTGGCAGGAGACCTCTGTCACAAAATGCTGCTGCCTCAGAGGTCAATAGCATTGAGACAAAAGTTCTCATCTTCTGTGTGAATTATTAACATGGTCAATACATAGTAGTTCAATACTCTGAACTTGTTATTAAGATAGTAACAGATCCAGAAACAACCACTTACAATGAGATGACACATGACAAATTGGTGAAGCAGGTGGTTCCATTTTGTCTTTTCAAAGACAGAAAGATGGCCCAAATCATGCTGGAGCCATGCAGCCTGGACCTGGAAGGCAAAGGAAAATGCTTAGAAATTTTGCTCAGTTTGCTTAGAAATAATTGAAAGATGAATTCCAATGGAAAGTAACTGATGATCACCATGGTTGGATCCCCGCCGGTTTTGATTTTTGCTAAAAGACTTATACAGTACTCTAGGATTGAAGATAAAACCATTCACCATCTAGCATTCAATAGTCAGATGATCTTACAATTTTAGATACTTAAGAACATGTATTTCATAAGTACCAACTTCAAGAAAAAATGGTTTTGGAAATACTGTTAAGATAGTAGTTCCCTCCCAACCCTTTTTGTAATTATATAGTATTTATTATCCAATAAAACGTTTTTAAAAAACAAGCTAGCTTAGATTGCTTAGTATATAAGCATCCTTTGCGTGGCCTTTACAATCCCTCTTGTATTCCTGAACACACCACATTCTTATATCTCTTTCTAGTATCTAGTACTTTTGTGTGCATTTCTGAGAAATATGCGCATTTATTCCCATTTTTGGTATTTACAGATTTATTCATAATTTTTCATGGGTAAACAGAAGTTTCAGGGGGATAAAGTTTATTAGCAATGGGATTAAATGCAAGTCTTCAAGATAACTGTGGACTCCCAAATGAAAGTTAAATTCAGGAGGGAGAAGGGAGGCTAATTAGCCAGACAACTTGTTTCAGCTCCCTTGTACACAGCTGTATAAAATCCAGATTATCTGTTTTGAACTGGATTATATGGTGGTTTAGAAGGGGCCTCATATGTTCCCAGGGCCCTTCCACACAGCCATATAACCCATAATATCAAGGCGGAAAATCCCACAATATCTGCTTTGAATTAGATTAGTGGAGTCACACTGCCATACATTTCAGTTCAAAGCAGATAATGTGGGATTTTATTCAGCTGTGTGGAAGCGGCCTCAGCTTTATTCTGTGAACATACAACTTACCTGTGCTATAGTAAGCAGCCCTAATGAAGCCATAAAGGGCAATAAAGATGTCCCGAAATATATGAGGGTGAGCCAAGATGCAATATCCAGTATCAGGATATGAAAGAGGAGGGCCAAGAAGAAGAAACTGTTGGGTTTCATGAGTCCCATCTTCTCTACAGTTGTGCATAGCTCACGAAAATCCATGATAAGCGATTCCTGTGGGGAAATCAAACATTACATCTGTCTCTACTGTAGGAGGTGAGGATGTTATTTGGTAAGTTTGCCTTTACTCTTAAAGGAACTCACTGGGCCTGGAGCAAAGGGACTCCATGGCCAGGTAAGTGCAAGTGACAAACCAAGCAACACACCCAGAAGTATGTTACTTATTGACTTATCCAAACATCTCAGTAAACAATCATCAGGTAGATTTTACCTCTTAATCACTGCTGACACATCTATAACTTTGAGACAATTTAATGATAAGTTTTATTCCTCTGCCCCACACAAAATCTGTGTGTGAAAAGCTGACATGTACAAAACCAGACTAGGGGTTAGATCGAGGTGTGTGCAACTGGGCTGGGCCTTCTCCTCAGAGCAGCACCTCCAGCCTCTTTAATGCACTAAAGGCTTTAACCGAATGGGGTAAACTCTTGCGCAGAGAGCGGAATGGCCAGAAGGGGGAGGCAACGTATCAGATGGAAGGCTGGAGGAAGGGAGATCTTGGACTTGGCTTGTGTGGCCCTTGAATCCCCTCACCACTACCCTTCCCCGCCCCAAATAAAAACATTTGTAGCAATGTTTGTCCCAAAACCACATAGAAAATCACCACAAGTGTGTGAAAACACACAAAATACCCCATCTCAACCTTACAACACCCAAAAACTGTACAATTTTTTAAAATACATGAGCTTCTCTGCAGTCTCCATCAGAAAGACAAAAGGAGGTGATGCAATGTCACTTCATACTTCCATTTTGAAAGAAATTATTTTCCTCCTCCCTCCCCCCTCTCCTGGCATATCATTTCTACACCTGCCGATCAGGGTAATGGGAGCCGGGAATATTATTTTTACTTTTTAAGGCTTTTAAAGGGTTTTTTTTGGGGGGGGGGGTGGCTTGGGGTCAGCTGAATTGGGCCCAGAAGTTATGCGACATGATCCTCGGGCCTAATCCACACAGAGCCCACAGCTGGAAAGTGTCCACAGTATTCTGAAAGGCCCAGGTTTTTCCAGGTGTCAAATTAATTCAGCACAAAGCAGAGTTTTCCTGCTTTGTGCCAAATTAATTTGCTTTTGCTAAGTCTACAGTTACTGTGCTGAGGCCGAAATGCAGACCCTGGGGAAAAGTGGACTATAGCGGGTGGAATTCCCCCCAGCCAATATAGCCAACAGGCATTTAATTACTGTATAGAAGCAAAAAGGCCATCAAGCTCCTCTCTCCAATAATGACACAGTACAGGAGACAAATTTTAAATTCCTCTCTGTTCCCACTTCACATCCATTTGTCAAGATGAACTTACATTTTTGCTGGGTTCAAAAGTAGATTGATCTGGTGCCAGCTCCCCAACCAATAATGGGTTCAAAAACTTGTTTACCAATGTTTTGTTGCCATGAAATGCTGCAAAGGCATCCTGCAAGTCACAAAGTTGGGGGTAGGGAGGGGAGAGAAAAAAAATCAAATGCTAGAGAATATTGAGTGAAAACTGATTCCACTATTGCCTCCTTCTCTGGAATAACTGAAGTATTTATTATTGACAATTCAATTCTAGTGGTACAAATGTCCCAGAGATCCTAATACTTTTGATGGGAAATGTGAGATGACATCCACTAGTTTCCATCCAACCTTGTTCACAACAGCAATCTTCAACTGGGAACCAAGCCCATAGGCATACAGTTTGTACTACCATTATCTTCTACTAACATAGCTATTATTTTTCATTTGTATGCACATGGACTCTTTTCACAGCTGTGGCTCAATACAAGTGAAGTGCAATCCCTGCTCTGATCTCCAGTCATTGACAAGAGTGGATATAAGAAGCTATTTCAAGTTTTACACGTCCAGAATCCTGTTAGTGACATACATGGGCATGAAATATGGTTATGCATGTGTAAATTTCTGAGGATGGAACTGGCAAAAATGCCTCTGAGTATTCCTTGCTTTAGAAAATATTATGAAATTTTTGGAGTTGCCATAAGTCGACAGACAAGTTGAAGGCACATACACACACAGTATCTCTTATTGGTTGGAGTGCAATGTCTTTGGTCTCTAATGCAATACCTCACACCACCTCCCAATATTGTCAAGCTCTGGGAGGGGCCCCCACTGCTGCTGATATTATTACAAAATAATGTCTGAACTCCAGTTCATTTCTGGAGTCGTCATGCAAATGACATAATGAATCAGCCACCCTTGAAGTATTGCAGAACCACAGTAGGTGTTTTGAACTTCATGGCTGTTGCTAAAGGTCCATGCCCATTCATCACAGTCATTCAAGTGGCTTCTCAATATGAAGTCATTCCACACACCAAATAGTTTTGCTGCCAACATGGTTTCAACATTACGAAAGTAGCAAGAAGTGAACTCAGAACAATGTAGCTCCTCAGCAGTATTGTAACAAGGAGGTAGGTTTAACATGGAAACACAGAAACACAGTCTGCTCAAGGAATAAATAAAAACAGCTAACAAAATGCACACCATTTCGACTAGCAGGTAATATTCATTACGGAGGTCCCTCAATACAGTGATTTCTTACAACTCACTCAAAAGAATAACCCTCCAGTGTTGTCACTAACTCATTCAGTAGTTAGTGACAATTCAGTATAGTAACTACCTTGCCCAGCATTTCTGTGTATATCAGTATTTAGAGAGTCTCCAATTTAGAATAATAGAATAATCTTGAAAAATACTAGGAAGGCCCTATTTTCCACTCTCCTGTGGTATCAAATTTTTCTGCATTTATGCACATTATGGGATGATCATAACATATTGAGCCAACTTTCATCATATAAAAGAATTCCTTCAGTCACTTTAAACTATTCAGTATTTCTGTGAATATATGTGCCATCTAGTCACCTGTTGATTTATGGTACCCCGATGAATTTCATAGGGTTTTCTTAGAAAAGGAATCCTTAGAGGTGGTTTTGCAAGTTCCTCCCTCTGAAATAGAGCCTAAAGCACATGGCATTTCTTGGTGATCTACTATTAAAGAACTGAATATAAGGGACCATAATTGTTTCTAACACATTTGCGTCAATAGGGCTTGATCATGATGCTGAAATACTGAGGGTGCTTCCAGACAACAATTTATTACATGGAAAAATGGGTTAGAGTAACCCGTTTTTGCCCATGTTGCTGTCCTCACAGGCACCCAAAAGAACTAGGCTTTCCCGGGTGGGTGTTTCGATGCCATCACGAAAGTTTTCATAGAAATGATATGCCAGAAGGGGGAGAGGAACTAGCCCCCCTCCTGCCTCCTGGAATGACATTTCCATGTACCCGGAGAGGCCTAATGGCAGCCCAGTAAGTTTTTCTTTATTTTAAGGGCTTTGGGGGGTGGGTGTAAGGGGAGGTGCCCTCCTTGCTTCTCCCAGCTTTTGGAAGCCCAAAGAAGTGAGATGGATATGGCGACTGACCCCAGGACTACCCGGTACTTAGTTCCTATATGCCAAATATCTCATTAGACCCAGGCCTTTCAGGAAGGCCCAGATAATGGGGTATCAAGTTAATTTGGAACAAGGCACGGTTTTCCTATATTGTCCTGAATCAATCCTCTTTTACCTGAGGTGTCATTTGAATGCCTCAGGTAAAAGTCCGACAGGGCCCGCAGTTTGAACCCTGTCTGGAAGGGCCTTTTGCTGACCAATCTATGTCTTAAGCAAATTACTGTGTCACAGTTTCAGTCATACAAACAAAATCAGTGAACCAAAAAAAGGAGCCATGGTAGTTTTGCTAGTTCCTTGCTTTGAAATATAGCCTATAGCACCTGGTCATCATTTGTGATCTTCCATCCAAGTACTATCCAGGGCTGACCCTCACTCAGTTTCCAATATTGCGTGGGATCTGGTGTCTTTAGGATTTTTTGCTATATGCTCTAAACCAGTACGCTACATTGAATTGCCATTCACTAATGTTATACAATGGCAATTCAATGTATTGCTTTAGAGTGGAATGGAAACAGGAGAGCCTGGAAAGATATGTAATGTGCCCATCTTGATAGTGGCCTCATTCAGTTTAAAGAGCCAGGGAACTACTTGTCTAGACCTGAAGTTTAATTACTGATGGCTGTTGCATAACAGGATTTTTGAGTCCACCGTGTGTCTCAAACTTGTTCTGTCCTCAGTGTTGAGATCTTAACTCATGCGACTAATCACTTGCCACAGAGATAATACTATAAAGCCACTTATTAACATTTCCATTGTGCAAACTCAAAAATATATTTCTCAATCTTTTATCCTGCTTCCTAACATGGGGAACATGTCCCATACGGGATGCAATTTGATTTTTTTTTTGCGGGGGGTGGGGGGGGTGCAATTTGAGAATGAGTTATTAACAGTGATTTTTTATTTCTTATGGTTCTAGGGGTCCCATATACAGTATGTGTGTGTGTGTATGTGTCGACATACACATTTTTAAAATCAATAGAAAGGAGTGGTGAGAATATTGAGAGAGCATTGAGTGCATGACACAGAAAGGTGAGGCCACTCTCATGCCAAACACTCCAATCCTCTCAATGTTCTTTTAACATTACAAGCTATACAAAAAAAATATATAAAAATGTATTTTTGTTCCGCATATGAATGAATCAAGAAATTTGTCAAAAAATCCAAAGCACAATTATTACTTTCAATATTTTTGTATGATTAACAAAAGGATCCATTGCAAGAAAAGTAATGTCATGTGACAGGATCTCCTCACACATTCCCACCAAATATACACACTGGAGTTGAACACTTAAGTTAGCTCACAATTGAGTTGAGAAATAGCATGTATTTAATGCAGATTTCTCAACTCAATTGTGCCTCTAATATTACTACTTCCCACGTGGAAGTTGTTTCATTTCATTACTTAACATGAAGTGTTTTGATTAGCTCACAAAAAGGTTTCCTCTGCATGAATAAAAATTCACTTTTTGAACAATAATAATTACGGTAGATGTCATGAGGGGAGTCAGTAGAATTTTAGAGATGCTTAGGTGGGGCATGGCCAAAAAAGGTTGTGAATCACTGATCTAGCAATTCTGAAGCTAGTTTCCATCTTGTTTCCTGCACTGACTCACATCTTCTTCTGAAAAAAACAGGTTCGTACTCAAAATGTATCTCTGCTGTATTTCTAGATAATTTTGTTCCAACCCACTAGTCTAACCATTCTTGCAAAGAATGCAACCTGTCATATTTCACGAGTTCCACAATGCATTACTAAACCCACATATGACACCAAAGACAGGTTATTCTGCAAAATAAAATTGACACTCCACCTGTTGAGACAAAGGGCAATCCATGTACATGTTGCAGGGGGGAAATATCTGATTTACTGTATTGTCGAAGGCTTTCATGGCCGGAATCACTAAGTTCTTGTGGGTCTTTTCGGGCTATATGGCCATGTTCTAGAGGTATTTCTCCTGACGTTTCGCCTGCATCTATGGCAAGCATCCTCAGAGGTGAGGTCTGTTTGGTAACTGGGAAAAGGGTTTACATATCTGTGGAATGACCATCTTGGAATTAGCCAACAAAGTTTGCCAACATAGTCAAAGGTGTGGCATTAGACTCATGTATGTGTCGTCATTACCATATCGGTTGACTTGGGAAATATTTGATTGCCATGTTATTCCTCTTTCTGCTATGCTAATTTTTTTAAAAAAAAAAAAACCTAGGATCATAACCCCCTTCCACACAGCTGTATAAAATCCCACATTATCTGCTTTGAATTGAGTTATATGGCAGTGTGTACTCAGATAACCCAGTTCAAAGCAGATACTGTAGATTATCTGCCTTGATATTCTGGTTTATATGGCTGTATTGCACAGCCTATAGTTGAAGATCTTTTAACAGCCTGTTAAATTGTGGTTAAATATCTAAAGTAAAGTGAAAATGTAACAGTAATGAAAAGAAAAACAGTAATGAAAAGAAAAGGTCTAGATAAGTTAAAAGGTTATGTCAGAAAATAATATAGATGTGTTGAAAAATAATATAGGTATACAGCATCAGCATATTCATATAAATCTCATTTGGACCAACCCATTTACATTAGAAGACTTTCAGGTTGGAGACTGTAAAGTCACAGGGTGAGTTTGATTAAAGCAATCTGGTTAGGCACTGGAAAAAAACAATAACATGTCCTCCATGCTGGCTGGGGGCGGGGGCCCTGCCAAAAGTTGAGAGACATTATGTGATGGGCTGTGTGCCCAACTGCCCCTAAACTTGGGCAGAAGTATCCTAGGATGCTAAAAAAAATCCTCATGTGAGGAAGTCTTGTATCTTAGGTTAGGAAAAGTATCCTGGACTGCCTTACCAAAAGAAAAAAGAAAAAAAAAAGGGGGGGGGGTCAGATTTCCAAAATGTTATCCTGTTAATGTTTAACAAAGATGCATAGGCAGCAGCAGATTTTAACAGTGAATGGCCAATTTCACCTTTG